TGTTAGTAGCTATAAACAAGTGGGTGTTGTTATTTTGTACTGATGAGACAACTTTCTTGCGGTCATCTTAATTACCGCTAAAACATGTCCAGTAAATATCTTCCAAACATTTGTTCTTCTCTTACACCATGCCTCTGGCTATTCTCGACAACTCTAAACATAATGCAAGACCTTACTACAAACATTAAGGTCATCATTGGAATGTCAAAGGGGTTAGAGCTAGAGATATATTTCACACTAAAGGTTAAAGCCTCAGTTTAATTGTCAAAAGTGGTGATTGTGTGTTAAATACCACATAAACATAATAATGAGAGAATTCAGTTTGGATAGGAATATAAAAACTTAAAATGAATAGTTGTGTACTTTTGATTTTGAATTTCAAATGAATTAAAGGGACTCAAAAACACTTGGTGAAAAAGTAATCAATTTGACAGAAAGGATATTGCTAATGATATGTCTTTATGTGCTTGATCTGAATTGATTTTTGGACTCATGTAAATAAGTTATTTCATGCCCTCTTTACATTATAAAATAATTTGAATTTGAACTTCTGTTAGGATGATCAAGTACCTTTAAATATGATATTAGTAGATATAAATGTACATGTATGTTATCATATAACTTCAGTATTGACATGTGTGCTTAAAATGATAAGTTTTATGTCTGTCAGTAGCGTTTAGTTTGTAATTTACCTAATCTCTAAAATTATCTTCCATGCTGCACAGGAAATTGATTAGATATACATAATTTATGAGTTGAGGAAGATGTATGCTCATATATAGTTGTGAACATTTGAATGAAGTTGTTTTGAGAAAAAGTAAAAGATTAGTGTGAAGGGGATTGAGAAATAAATTATACATAGTTATAAAGTTAAGGATACTACTTCTAATAATATAATATGGATTAAATTTAACTATTGGCACAAACCTTCCCTTTCCACTCCCACCTTTATGTCTTGTATCACCTGTGCAATTATAAATATATGTTGAGAACAGTGTTTTCTCCATGCATTTAACATTCAAGGCAGTAATAAACTTGTGCATGTATTAAGGAGTTTACTGTAGAAATATTCAACCTTTTGTGACATAAAGGATGAAGAATAACAAAAGAGACGGTGTAGATATTGTGAGTCTGTCAACTGTAAGACACTCCTTTTTAAAACCTAACTCCTGTACTCAGTCAGTGGGTTGACTGCTAAACTAGGGTGACGTATTGAAATGCAGGATTTGAAATGTGAATCTTGAATTGTGAAATAGATTTAGTTAAATATTGAAGGATTTTATCAGTATGTCAATACCTGGATAGCTATTAACACCTTGTTTATTCTTTAGTTATTCAAGAATGTTAGTGATTTATAACCAAACGTTTAAAGACAGTTAATGTTGACCTCAGATATTCTATTCACAAGGTCGGGGTTGGAATAGCTGATGTGTCTTACATTGAGAGGATATTTACCCCACGTACACACGCTATTATTGAGGACACCCAATTTTACTTAAAACCATATCGAACTATTTGATACTAAGCTGTGACAGGATGGTTCATCTATTATACCATTCATGTAAGAAATAGCCAATTCTATAGCTGTTTATCGATTAGGGATAATCACAGCTGGAATACACGTTCACGTCTGTTCATAGCTGACTCCCAATTTTATGGGACTACGCCTCAAGTGGTAACTTGTGTGATGATTATCATCTAGTTGTAATATAAATAGTCGGAACTACATGACACCGGTGCAATGTTTTCAAATTAAATTAGGATTTGTTGTTAATGACTACAGTGAAATAACTTAAGTAAATAGTGTTTTAAGTTGTGTGTTTTTAAATGGTTACAGCAGTAGATGTGTGGACATATTTTATGACGTCTGTTCAAGTTCTAATATGTCATATCTAGTAGAGATATATGCACAGGTATTTATGTGTCGACAACACTGAATTAATTAGCTGTGCTTGCGTATTGTGTGCTTCTAGAAAGTTTCTTAAAAATCAGATTTTCCTCTGTGTATTATAAAGGAAATATTATTTATTTTGCTGTTTTATGTTAGTCATTCACTCATTGTGAAAAGGCTTTCTTTTGAATTTGAATGTTGGAAAGGGTAAAGAACATATTTGGTAATGATTCACATAGAGCAGGGATTACACCAGTGAAATTTAGGTGGAGTATTTTTGCTGTGCCATGTAATAGAGACACTGTATAAACCATGTTGGTTTATATGGCCACTCCCATTGAAAAAGCTGGTAAACTCAAAATCAAACCAATAAATCAAAAGAATAGACCAAAATTACGATCAACAGATCATTTAGAATGCAATCAGTTTGTAATGTCAAAAGAGAAGCTGGGAATGGTTCTTGACGATGTGATTGACAATTCCTCGCTGCCTTCATCAAGGAGTTCAGTAACTTCCAATTCATCTACCGTTAGTGCTTTATACAGATCAAGTTCATTAAACGAGACTGATTCTTCAGACAGTGCTGACAAAATGAAAACTACTCCAATTTCTAAGAAACCCAGAGTAAAATTAAAACGGACACAGCCAGTTTTGAAATCTCAATTACGCAATCCTGTGATACCCAAATCAAAACACATACGTCCACTGTCCCAATATACAGATGAAATAATACACACAAATTCAGACAGGACTTCTTATAGCAGAACTTTAAAAAAACGTCATGATTTTGCATCTGTTGGAGATATTATTGAAAAGACTTCATTCAAAGCCAAGCGTTCAAATTCTATAGGAAGCGCATTGGAGCGACCTCAGGCTTTCAAATCATGTCTAAAACGACTAAACTCTTCTGTTTCTCCGTCAAGATGTGTTAGTTTTAAAACACCAAGTCGTTCAAATTCATCCGGATCATCATCATCTAGATCTATCAATTTTAAAAGATCATTAAGTCGATCTCCTACAAGATCTACTAATAAAACATCACCGAGTATTTTAAAATCTATAGCTAAACAGTGTTCTGGTGATGAAGCTGTGAATGAAATTGCGGAATATGTGATTAGACAGTGTCGTATTGGTTCATCAGTAGCGTTTGGATTAGTTCATGTGAATAATACTAATAATAACAATAAAAAGGTAAGAATACAGCTTCAACTTTCCGTTATCAAAGGTCAAAGAATGTTGTCTGATCTTTTGTCTGGAGGGGGACAATATATACAACCCCAGGCAATAGCAGAAAAAACAGAATTTTAAGTACCCTGTGTCCGATTTGTTTTACACAAAGAATGAAAATAAGTATGTATGTATACAGAGTTTTAGTTTACAGTATTAGTACTTGTTACATATTGCAGGTGCTTCCATAGATAAATTTAAGTTAATGGTGTGTTGGAAAGTATGAGTGTTCTCCTTCAAAGTAGTTAATGCTCTTAGAGTCTTATCTGATAGTTTGTGTATTTAGTACATGGATGATAGATGTTATTTGATGTGTTATTGAATGATTGAAATAATATCATTAATGATTCATGTGTATTATATTTTAACTGTTAATTGAATACAATTTTGTTTGAATATGAATTGCTCGGTAATTTCACTTTCTTAGGGACATTTAGTAGTCTGAAATACACATTTTAAAGCTAGCACTGTAATTTTTGTTCATGAGATATGACATTTTTTTGTTTTTTGTGGGTGATAAACTATATATTAATCACCAATAATATACCAGTTTTATTTACCAACTATGTTCCAAACTGGGCCCAGAAGCATGATAATAAAGGGTACTGATGACAACAAAACAATTTTTGGCTATAGACTGTGGTTTGTCTGGTATACATGGAAAAGCCAAAAAACGATGAGTTTTCTTGGAAATTCTGTTAGTACATGCTAAAAAGAGATATCAATAATCCCTTCTGTGGATTGAAAGTAGAGGTTAAAAGCGACATTTCGACACCAAAAACGTTATAAAATATCAACTCAAAGTACATGTATTTTAAAATCTTTGTTGATTATTTACTTTCAAACAAGATTTTGTGATTTCCGGAAAATTCTTTGAATACGTCCACAACAAGGTTTAAAATACAACAATTTGGATGTAAAAAGTAAATATTTACTCCGCCGATCCCAAAATCATTTTGTATATTCAAAAATGGTAGTCTTCGACCATCAAAAAATGAAATTAGCCATGTTTCAGTCGCGTCTTTGACTAGATGGAATTCCTTCTGATGTCATACATGTATACAGAGGTCAATGACCAGTGTGAAACTGCTGCTGGAGGCGGCCATGATTGTTATTGCGGATGACTTGAACAGTGTGTACAACAACATAATGTATTCAAGAACTGATCTAGTCGGGGAAAGCTTCTTGTTTGCTATAAATAGTTTTTTCCTTTCCGCTTGTATCGTCATTATTAGTATTACACAACAAACTGTCGGACTGTTATGTGTCCTCTGGTAGGTTATTTTACACATGGAACAAGTGTGCAAAGTCTTAATAAGATGGTGTTGAAAAGTTAGTGCGTATCTTAGACTACTCAATGCCCTTAAAGCTTTATCAAATGCCCGTAGATAATTTCTGTATAGTTGAGGAGCATGTACTATATCTCTGCCTATTGGAATTTGCTGATGACGCTTTATATTAATAAAGAAATAGATTAAAGTTCATGTTCAGGCATTTCGCTTAATCTGATGGAGTGTATTTCTATATTAAAATATACTTCATCCCAGTGACCTCTATTTTTATCTGTTTTGAATGAAACTTGCTAAATTCTGGAGAGATAATCTGTTAATGATGAATGTAAGATACAGTGTGTGGGATTATATGAGATGCTGTGTCATTACATAGTGTGATGTGAAGAATGATGTATGTACAGATATATAATATAAACCGCTATCTTAGTTTATTGCACTATCTTATAGTTTACCTCCAAGATAAGGCTTTCAGTACTTTCAGCAAAATGAACCTATCATGAGTAGGCTACAGTTTTTGAATTTCCAAAGGAAACTGAAAAAGGGAATTGCAGTTAATGATTTTATTAATTTTAATTTGATTTTAACTATAGCAACCCACAACTAATGGCTTCACAGATGGACATTGTCTGGTTACCATACGGATGAAGCCTGACGAGCAAGGTCGATTTGGTTTTAATGTTAAGGTAATTATTAAGTTTTATTAAATTTATATTTTAACACTGTTATACATTATTTTAATATTACTCATGGAAATGCCAGTTACAATCTAACAAATTTACCCTTATATATATGAGCTCTGTAGTAATTGTTATTAGATTTCCTGTAAGCACAGTCTGCTTATATAAGAAGAGAGACAAAACAAATGATACATGAACATTGTAAAATTAAATATGTATTCCCAGAGAAGACACAACTTAATTCCGGGAGATGCCTTCTGAATGATAAATATCTTGCCTTATTGTTATCTCTGTAAGAATGATGCTATACTGTTCAATGCATTGTACTATGTTTAATGAATATGTCTATTTCAGGGAGGTGCAGATCAGGGAATGCCTATTATAGTATCAAGGGTAGCCATCAATACGCCAGCTGACCTATCTATTCCCAGATTAAATGAGGGTGATCAAGTATTATTTATTAATGGAAGAGATATGTCACAACACACGCACGAACAAGTTGTCATGTTTATAAAAGCTTCTCGGGAAACTCATTCGGGAGAATTAGTTTTAATTGTTCGACCTAATGGTAAGAAGTTTTCTTAAAGTTACAATTTCATATTTTTAAGTTATATTTTTAAAATTTATTAAAATAAAGCCTTAAAATAGATGGTATCTATAAACAGTCCTACCTTGTTAAAGAATAATCCTATTAATCCTATAATTCACTATTGCCAGTTGAGAAATGGGCAAAAATATCATTTTCAACTTCAAATTTCAAATGTTTGAATAGCTATTCCATGGGGGTAATAGGAAAACAAGGGAGGTAATTGTGTTATTATTTACTGTGTTAATGATTTTTAAGTGTGGGAAATAATGCCTATGATCATATAATAGTGAGTTGATAACCTATTGATCAAAAGACAGAAATAATTATGTTTTGACTTTCTTAGAAAATATGAAATTCTCGCTTTAAATTGACATTGATGATATTAAATTGGAGGACAACAAACTGTCCACTACATGTGACAGAGCAAGAAATTATGTCAGATATGAAACAAAATAATTTGTGTGATGCCATAAATCTAATTACTGCAAGTTAAATACCAAACAATGTTATTGCCATCAGAACCAATTCTATTGACAGTGCAGTCAGATTGATCAACTGGAAAAACAATGTGGCAATACAATTTTGGTAATGCACAAGAAATATTCATTCGGTAAATAGCAGCTGTAGTATGGCATGCGTATCATTTACTTGAATGATGTCGAATATTATTTTCTTCTAAAATGCTCTCAATTACATAAATTCTATTAATCTTATTTCAATTACTTATTTTCACTTAATTATATAATTATATCTTTTTTTTATCTTTCAGTTTATGTTGGAGAAGATGCTTCTGAAGAACCTGATTTCTCCTATACGCCAGAAACACACACCATTGCTAGTTCCAATAATAGTAACACATTACAATCATCACTTTTATTATTACAAGAAAGTCTAGAAAGTGGAGCTGCTTTGGCACAGTTTGAGGTAAAAACAAATGATCTTTCATTTCTTGAATAGCATTTACAAATGATTGATTTTGGCCTCTTTAATTTAGCCATGAAAATGAAGAGAATGTTTTTCTTGGCAAAGGATCATTTGGATAGCACCAAAATTGTAGGATAGTACCAAAATTGTAGGTCCTGAGAAAACATTGATCATATTTACATACAGATTCCTTTTAATGCATCCATTACGACTGTGTATCTCCATAAAAAGATAATCTGTATTCCCAACCCAAAATTTAACCTGCTCTAACATAACAAAATTTTACACTTTTATTCAAATGAGTACATAGTATTTACACGAATGATAAATGTTTTGTGAAATAAATGATTTATATTTGTATGATTTACTTTTAACAGTTGTTTATATTATTGTTTATTTCAGCAATTATATCGTAAAAAGCCAAACATGTCAATGAATTCAGCTCGTTTAGAATGTAATATAGCCAAAAATCGTTATAGGGATATTTCACCTTGTAAGTAGTCAAACTTGTTGATCTGTTATCCATACCCATGACTATGTATAAAATGTATAAATTAGATGTTTTCATATGTGGTCTGTGATGTCAATGCATCAAGTTATACCAGACAGTCTTGAAGTATATAGCATGTGCCAATTGAAGATTGTAGCATAGTGAACATTATTCATAGACAAGAGAGTAATTTAAACCACTTTTTACTTACATAGTTATTATGATTTTGAATATAACTATTTTATTATTTTCATCAGATGATCAGACTAGAGTTGTGTTAAAAGGAAGTTCTATGGGAGATTATGTTAATGCTAATTATGTAAATGTAAGTTTAAAACATTTGTCTGTTGTAGTGAAAATTTCAATTCATGGTTCTAATTGGCCATTATTTTAGTCTGAAATTAGGCATTAATATTGACGGCAGAAGGCAATACATTTGCCCCTCTTCCAAAGGAAAGATTTTCAAAAAGCAGATTGTCACACATCTGCTAAACAATTGTCAAGTAGACCTTGAAAATTCTTTCTCTTCACTCTTCAGTCACTTATCCGTAGGTACACAAATACGCCTAATTTGGGGGGGTTGGATGGCTGAATGGTTAGCGTGCGCGCGCTGCATCATAAAGTCTGTCATTGAGTCGACTGGCGTGGTTTCGAATCCCCGGTTGTATGTGACAATTAGTAGGGTCGCCTGTCCAACCTCGTGGGTTTTCTCTGGGTCCTCTGGTTTCCTACCACTGCTAAAGACCCCTACGCGCAAGCAAATTATTGAAATAAAATTAAAACCATATGTAAGTCCCGAAATGACCTAGTTTGTGTCGAGTGGACGTTAAACCCCATTTCTCTCTCTCTCTCACGCCTAATTTGTTTTGGTTTTATATTGATAAGTCTGAAAATCATTATATAAAATCCTCTATTTTTTCGACATCTGCATACCAAACATTTTCGCAACTCTCCAAATCTGCTTGTAGGCCAGGACTTGTGATGTAGATTCCACTAAGTATAAAATCAGGCTTTGAATTTAATGATCAATGAATCGATCTCAAATATTGGTGTCTTGGCTATAGAAAAGTGTATGTATTCAGATTCTAAAAGATCGATAATAAATCAAATGTCAAAACACAAGTATAAGTAACGTCACCTGCAATTCCATTCTCAGTTCCTCTCTATAATTACATATATTTGACAAATGAAATGGGGTTTAACGTCCTTCTTTTCTGCACCGACTGGGCTAATAAAGACGGACTTAATATGACAGTATTTGGTTTTATGAATGTTTCAGTAAATTTTATATATACTTTTATATATGAACTGGGAAATGAGCAGTGGGCAAGTTAATAATATCTACTGTGGTACACTTAGTAGAATTACATGTAGGTTACCTGAACATGAGTTGAGGGACCAGTGTCTAATTATAATTGATATACAATTGTATGTGACAATTAGGTAGGTGATCATTTTGAGCCGTGTTCAAAGAGTCTTAACATAAGCTAGTTGGTAATACCTTACTTTAATTGAGTCAGTGCCTCGATTTCCGGTAAGTAGGTGAGTTAAAGGAGCAAAACCGCTATTCTTTGGCGATACATGTGCCAATTTTAAAATTTTCATTGTGTCTTAAATATTGGATATCAGAAGCCCCTCTTTCACGGTAAGATAACAATGTCAATGTTGATTTAAATTGACCAATAAGTCATGTTTGCAATGTTGAAGACTGTGGATGATACTGAGTTAAAGTCTTGCCTCCTTTAACTTGAATACATCATAAGATATTGATTAATCTGTTTTCTTGATGAGAGTTCTAATGACTCTTTAATGTTTAATATTATAGATGGAGATACCAGGTAGTGGTGTAGTCAATAGATATATAGCAGCTCAAGGTCCACTGCAAAATACATGTACAGATTTCTGGCAGGTATGTCATATAACTGTTATATTATTTGACACATTCGATCCCTGACCCACGAGCAGTTCAATCCAAAGGAAACATGTTTCACTTCTGAGTTGGAATAAATTGAAATTTCATTGATTTATGCTGCTCTCTATAACAAAACGTCATCACCTGATTGTCCTAGTTTAAATACAGTTTAATCCAAGCAGGGAGATCGTCTAGCAAATGTATTTTGATTAGGTTTTCTTAATTAAATGTTAAATAATCAATCTGAGCACATATTTTGGGAGGATTAAGCCATAAGAAATTTGATATTTTAGTGAAAATGCAAATGACACATCGAACCATTAACAGATAAATTTTTTTTTTGAACAGATGGTTTGGGAGCAACATTGTACATTGGTTGTTATGTTAACGACTAAAGTAGAAAGAGGACGAGTTAAATGTCATCAATATTGGCCAGAATTATACGAAACTCAAGACTTTGGTGAACTGCAAGTTACCTGTGTAAAAGAGGAGGATGCAACATCATTTGCTTTCCGTGAGTTTAACTTGACTCATGTGGAAACAAATGAAGAACGGCACATACGACACATGCAATATATTTCTTGGCCAGATCATGGCGTACCAGATGACCCTAGTGATTTCTTAGATTTTGTTGTTAAAGTTAGACAGAATCGAGCAGGCATGGTGGAACCTACAGTCGTCCATTGCAGGTAAAATCAAGATGATTTCCATTTTGACTATTTCGCATTTTAGATATTTTCATATGGCCACATTTCATGTAGGAGTATATTCTTGTCAACCCTTATGGTCTGTCTGTCCACAAATCTAGTAAATATATCATAGGTCAGAGTTTTTAAAATTTTTGTAAGGATGCCACTCATTGAAATGCCCGTCAATTTCATATAGTTATTGCTGCTGACCCTAAAAATTTGAAAACCATCATTCAGGCATTTTTTATACGCCCACATTTTCATGTGGACGTATATTGTCGTCGCCCCTGTCCGTCCACAATTTGTTTGTGGACTCTCTACAGGTCACAATTCTGTCCGATTTTGACAAAACTTGAAATATAGGTTTATCCCCAAAAGATCTAGGCTGCTTTCGATATCGAAACTTCATGGATTATAGCCCCTGTTTGTACGAAAAATTACGTTTTTAGCTTGTGGACCCTATAGAGGTCACAATTTTTATCCGATTTTGTTGAAACTTTAAATGTAAGTTTATAACCCAAAGATCTCAGTTCCTTTCGATATTCGTGCATATCGGACCGTAACTTCCTGAATTATGGCCCCTGATTGTACGAAAAATCGCGTTTTTAGCTTGTGGACCCTGTAGAGGTCATAATTTTTATCTGATATAAAAAACCGTATTATTATATCACCGTTACACCCTAAGCAAGGTTGAGTTCGAATTTCGTGAAAATCGGACCAAAATTGCCAAACAAAATGGCCGCCATTTGTACGCGAATAGTGTAAAAATATGGTAAATCAAGGTTGTGGACCCTGTATGGGTCACAATTTTAATTCGATTTTGTTGAAACTTGACATGTAAGTTTATAACCCAAAGAGCTCAGGTCCTTTCAATATTCATGCATTTCGGACCGTAACTTCCTGAATTATGGCCCCTGATTGTACGAAAAATCGCGTTTTTAGCTTGTGGACCCAATAGAAGTCATAATTTTTATCTGATTTAAAAAAATGTATTATTATATCACCGTTACACCCTAAGGAAGGTTGAGTTCGAATTTCATGAAAATCGGACCAAAATTGCTGGACAAAATGGCCGCCGTTTGTACGCGAATAGTGTAAAAATATGGTAAATCAAGGTTGTGGACCCTGTATGGGTCACAATTTTAATTCGATTTTGATGAAACTTGAAATGCATGTTTATAACCTAAAGATCTTGGTTCATTTCGATATTATCGCATATCGGATCGTAACTTCCTGAATTAATGCCCCTGATTATACGAAAAATCACGTTTTTAGCTTGTGGACCTTATATAGGTCATAATTTTTATCCGATTTAAAAAAATGGATTATTATATCACCGTTACACCCTAAGGAAGGTTGAGTTCGAATTTGGGGAAAATCGGACCAAAATTGCCGGACAAAATGTCTGCCGTTTGTACATGAATAGTGTAAAGATAGGGTATATGTCAAGGTTGTGGACCCTGTATGGGTCACAATTTTAATTCGATTTTGATGAAACTTGAAATGCATGTTTGTAACCTAAAGATCTTGGTTCCTTTCGATATTGTCGCATATCCGATCGTAACTTCATGAATTATGGCCCCTGATTATACGAAAAATCGCCTCTTTTAGCTTGTGGTCCCTCTGAAGGTCACAGTTATTATCTGATTTTAAAAATCGTTTGAATATATCACCATAACACCATAATAAAGGTTGAGTTCAAATTTCCTGAAAATCAAACCCAAACTGCCGGACAAAGTGGCCGCCGCTTATACGCGAAAGGTGTAAAAATATGGTATATCAAGGTTGTGGACCCTGTGGAAGTTACAATTTCAATCCGATTTTGATGAAACTTGAAATGCATGTTTATAACCCAAAGATCTTGGTTCCTTTCGATATTTGCGCATATTGAATTGTAACTTCATTAATTATGGCCCTTGATTGTAGGAAAAATCACTTTCTTTTTAGCTTGTTCTCTATCCATCTCTCAAAAATGTGGGCGTATCCTGCTTGGCAGCCGCTGGTTACTTAGTCAGTTGTTTAGATCAGTAAATAACTATCTTTATGATTATATACGAATTTATTATGTTTCAGTGCTGGCATTGGTAGGACAGGGGTTTTAATAACAATGGAAACAGCAATGTGTTTAATAGAAGCTAATCAGACATGTTTACCCCTGCAAATAGTAAAAAACATGCGTGACCAAAGAGCCATGTTGATTCAAACTTCTGTAAGTATAGAAAACAGGAAAATCTGGTGGTGGACATATACATGTTGCCTGTTTGTGTGCTTGTATATCAGTACCAATAAAATGCTCTATAATGGTGATCAGTGTCTGATTGAAATATCAAACTCTTTAGACTTAGTGCCACATTAGTCCATTATTTGATTATTCAAATTCATTATTTGTGTCAAGACTGATATTTGTACATAATTATTAATTATGTTCTATTCATATTTCAGAGTCAGTATAAATTTGTTTGTGAAGCAATCCTTAGGGTGTATAACGGTAAGCAATTACTAGTGTCTAATTTGTCAAATTTTCGCCATTATCACAAAAATTCATTTAAGCATTATTTTTGATCATAGGATCATCAAATCATAGGTATAACCTTAATTTCTTCTTTTTAGCAATTTTATCACTAAATCATCATATTTTGTCTTTGTAGAAGGAATTGTGAAACCAATTGATGATTTTCGTAGATGAGGGAAAAACGATAGCATGAGATATTTTAAAGGATTATTTAAAAAATGAACAAGATAAATTATTTTACCCTGGAAGGTAATACAGTTAAGTGAAAAAATAGAAATGAGCTGAGTGTGATACTGAAATGAAGTATATAATATCCCAGTGAAACAAGTTACAATGGATGATATGATGTCAATTTTCGTTGATTTGATCCTGCTTCATTTTGTAAAATAAAAGCATCAAACAAAAGCTTATAACATATTACAATGAAAAGTGCTCAAGTTGTGCTGCTGTAAGTGTGTGATCAGTTTGAGAGAGATAGAGAAGCTGTGGAAGCCGTTCGGTTTATTTTATTATTTTCTTAGATAAACTGGGTGTTGGGAATTTCTCTGTTTGAAAATTAACCAAGGGAGACAAGAGCAGTTCTCCAACTTGGGAACACATGACTGGCTTTTTTGGCCAGGGCGGTGATTGTACTGCTCAATAATACATTAAATGACCTATTTATTTGACAAGGTGATATTTTGTTCTGGCTTGCCCATCATCGTGTATTATGAAGAAATCAGATCCAGTAATAATATATCCTGAACCATTAAGACTTAGTGTGTTTAGTTTATGGTTAAATTAGGTGATGCACTGTTCCTATAAAAATTGTAGAATAATTTAAGCCTTCATCAAGTGATTATACAAGCTCAGTGAAATCATTGATTATTTATTTTAGTATGAAATAGATGGTAATTTATTCTTACAACTAAAAAAAAAAAAATAAATAACAAATGGATAACTTTCAACAAACCACTGAATGGAATTACTCTTTACTCAATATTGGTATGGATACCAAAATATGTAATTCTGATTCACAGAATAAGAGCAGATATGCATTATGGATGTTAAAAGAATAATTTGTAGATCATGAAAATATTAGGTACTTTCCTTCGAACTTAGAAATCAAGAAATTTTCATATTTTAATTGAAATGTAGCCATTTTATCGATTTTATTCAATAAAACTATGGCCAAATGAAATTTTTTAAGAATTTTTGTATAGTATCTATATTAAAATTTTATCTGTAATTATAGAATATCTGATTCATACTTGTTTTGCCATTGAAAAATATGCATAAGTTATTGTGAATGATTTAGGGCTCAAGGAATGTACATATACATGTACCTAATAACTATTCTGTAATTGTGGATGGTTAATAGACCAAGACTGAATGGTTGGTTGGTTAATTTCATAAATTTTGTTAGATATGGGCATACTAAATAATTTACAACGCAAAGTTTACAAAGATTATATAACAGAAAATCTTCAAAATACTATTCTTTTACGTTTAATTCTTAGGATTTACATTTTTAAATTTATTTGTACGTGTAGTGTATCTCAATGCATATACTACCTAGTCAATTTTATCTAAATTGTTCATGTATATATTATAAACATATGGAAACTATATGTACATGTACCATCAAACGTACACCTGAAGCCTACCTGTCTTCTATGGTAGGTATTTGGCATATGGACATTATGTTATATTGAAATACAAATAATCAACCAAACAAGTGACTCCGCTCTTTTTCTGTGAACTTCATGTGAACAAGTTAAAATTATGTTGATGTAATTTCTCAATCATATCAAACAGTGTTTATAGTTTTAATATTAATTATTATTATTATTATATATATGTATATGTATATAGAAGAATATTTTGGTCTGTAAGCTTATTTATAATCATTTATATCACTTGTTCATCCTCTTATCTATTTTGTTTTGTCCGATAACCTACAGAAATAAACAACAAATAAGTAACCAAAATCTTTGTTTTTATGAAATTAATTTAAGATACCAATTATTTAAAGTATATGCGTGTCATTTGAGGGATATTTAATTCCTTGCTAAGTACAATATGGTGAAAGTTAAATATCAGTCAGAAAATGTTTCCATTTATTACTTACAAAGGTACGATGAATTGAAAATATGTCCACATTCGTCATTCTCAGCAGACGATATAAACTGGATATGGTTGAAACATCCAAGCTCTACTAAAAACATTTGATGGGCCTCTTTTTAAGCTGATAGATTATCTATTGGGTGACAAAGGGTCTAACGTGTGGGAGACGCTGGTTAGGAACCTGGTATAGCTATTGCTTCCAGTGTTGGCTGAGGAAGTTCCTATGGTGCAGGATGGAATGCTTGACAAGGAACAGTGTCTAGTCTTTTGGATGGGACAAAAAACCGAGATCACATGTACACATTGGCATGCACATAAATGAACCCTTGGAATTTGAAATAAGAGTAGGCCGTAGTGCCACTGTCTGGGCAAAATTTTGCTCATAGCAAACTGCATGGTGTATGCTCGTCTGCATTAGCCCGGTCAGTGCAGAACAGTAGGACCTTAAACCTCATTTCATTTCTAAAGTGCACTTTTGATCATTAGGTCTGTCATTGAGTCAACTGGTGTGGTGTGTGTGAAATAGCTTTATTTAACGTCCGCTTCCACCGAAGTGATATCGCAGACAAAACTGGCGTGGTTTTGATCCCAAACTTTTATATGGCAGGAGTAGGGTCTACCTTCCCAATCTGGGAGGGGGGGGGGGATGGCACTGTATCATACGGTCTGTCATTGAGTCAACTGGCGGGGTTTCGATTCCCTGGTACGTGACAAGGAGTAGGGTCGCCTGTCCAACCTCGTGGGTTTTCTCTGGGTCCTCCGGTTTCCTCCCAAAGCTAATGACACCTACATGCAAGCGAATTATTGAAATAAAAAAATTAAACCATACGTTATTCCCAAAATGACCTAGTTTGTGTCGAGTGGACGTTAAACCCCATTTCTCTCTCTCCCCTTCCCAATCTTTTTACATGCCATCTTCAATTACTGATTACCTTCCATGGCATGATATAGAACATTTTCAGGAAAATGTATTTTGGATTCCAGTACTAGGTTACTGATAGAAATTCAAACACAATGAAAATTCTGTTTATTTATGCTAATGAACTTTGAGAATATAGCCTCCATGTTGGCTATTATATACTCTTCAAAAAAAAGTAGGGGATATTCAGAAACAATACAAAACTGCGGCAATTCACTGCAGTTTTTATTAGATGTAACCAGTGTATGTTAATAACAGGCCAATTGCCTACACATGAACATAAAATGTTCATATGGGCGGCTTCTCTGACGGCCCCATTTCACTCGCAAAGAGATACATTGTCAAAAGTGAAAATGGACGTTTTGGATTTTTGTCTTAATAATGAGTAATTGCTCCACCAATCCTCAGACATTCAGCAATTCGTCGTGGTATGCTCCTAATCAACCGCCCAATCACGATTTGGGGCAATCTGACCCACTTCTCTTGCAGTGCCACGGCCAATTCTTGCAGTGTTGTCGGTTGATGTTGACCTCGACGAACACGTCTCCCAATCAAATTAAATGTAACACACTAAAGCAAAGATACGCTAAACAGTAAATCTTATGCAAGAACTGATAGGAAAGCAAATGTGGACAAGATAAACCAGCAAGCAGCAGTTTTCATCAACCCTTCCTTGAAGTGTCAAATTTGACAATGAACCCCTCCCACGTGTATGGTGCTATTGCGTGTCGCACATGCAGCTCAGTGGTTCTGTTGGGGTGATAAGTTCTTCATCTGTGAACATACTCTCAAAGCATGTCAAGTGTCCATGACTATTTATCATATCACCACCTGCATAGGTATTTGCATTTCAATATCCCCTGCTTTTTTTGAAGAGTATACATGAAGCTAACTTTTATGAATTATTGCAGTGATTCTCAACCAGTGTGCCGCGAGATCCCTAAGTGTTCCGCGAAATTTCGAACGGCACAATTAGAAAATGCGAAAAACCACTTGATCCCAATTGAGTATTCACTGGTGTCTACTGGTACGTTCATAGTTGTGTTTTTCTTAATTTAGTTTGAGCCATTCTATGTTTCTATGACTAGCCCGTGTCTGCGGTTGTATGCCGTCTATGACTTGCCATGCTGTTATTTTGAAAATTCAGATATTATTCATATATATTTAGCCAGGTGTGCCGCTATTTTTTTCATGTGCTCTAAAGTGTGCCGTTGCCTAAAAAAAGGTTGAGAACCAATGATTTATTGTGATGTAGGGGGGATAACTATATTCCCAAAATATACGACATAACAAAAGCATTTTCAAGAAAATATCTGTCATTTACCGTAGCCATTTGGAGATGAGCATATGGTCGAAGAAAGCAGGGGACTACTAAAATGCAGGGGACTACTAAAATGGGTTCGTCCGTCTGTCTGTCCGTCACACTTTTTGGGACACAATAACTCTCTAAATTTCTAATTGAGCTAGAATGTCCGAACTTGGTGTACGGTACTACGTGTTTATTACTACTACTAGGCCTATTAGGTCAATCAATGCCTTGATGGAGTTCGAAGATGAGCATTTTCTGCTTAGGGTAAGCAGAGATAAGCAATTTGAGTGGTTGATGCCTTGGGACACGATAATGTTAGTTCTAATTAAGTGAGAGTGATGAAATCATGAAACTTAGTGTATGGTTTCATTACATCAATACCTTGACTAAGTTCGATAATGAGCATTTTCTGCTCAGGGTAAGTAGAGCGATAAGCAATTTGATTGGCCGAGACTTTAGAACACGATAAACTTGGTGTAGGCGTTCATTAGGTGAATGCCTTGATGGAGTTAGATGATAAACATTGTCTGCTTACGGTGGTAAGCAGAGATACGCAATCTGATTGGTTGATGCTTTGGGGCACAATAACTTTGGTTTTAATTAACTGAGAGTGATGAAACTCTGAGTATAGATTCATTATATCATTACCTTGACAAAGTTTGATGATGAGAATATGTTGCTTAGGTTATAGGATCGATAAGCAATTTGAGTCAAGACTTTGGAACATAACCCTGCTTTTAATTGAGGTAGAATGTTTAAACTTGATATAGATGTTCATTAGGTGAATGTCTTGACCAAGTTCAATGATTAACATTTCGAGCTAAAGCTAAGCAGAGCTAAGCCATTTCATTGGTTGACAAGATAACTTTGATTCTATCTGATAGAGAGTGATGAAACTTAGTGTTTAGGTGATAATCTGTTTGATTGCTTGATACTTTTGAAAAATATAAATGTGTGATTAATGAATATGTGTCATCTATTTATTTTGGGATTTCGGTGGGGGACATCAGCCTCACTGTTGGCTTGTTTTATTTCTGTTATTACCATTGCTTTGTCAGCCAGACAGGTGACCCCCCTGACAACTAGGAATTGATAAAGTTCTCAGTCGATCTCTAGTTTCGAATCCAAGAAAGACCCAACAGCTTAATTAGCCCATTGCAGAGAGACAAAAGAAATTTGTTATTTTTCAATGGCAATTTTAAGATAAAAATTACAAGCTAACAGTGATGTTATGCCCCCCCCCACCCCCAATCAACAAATAAGAGAGAGAGAGAAATGGGGTTTAACGTCCACTCGACACAAACTAGGTCATTTCGGGACTAACATATGGTTTAATTTTATTTACATAATTTGCTTGCGCGTAGGGGTCTTTAGCAGTGGGAGGAAACCGGAGGACCCGGAGAAAACCCACGAGGTTGGACAGGCGACCCTACTCCTTGCCATGTACAACCGGGGATTCAGTCCACAAATAAATACATGTAGATGACACATATTAATTCATTGCTCATTTATATTTGTGTAAAGCACCAAGCAATTAAATTGCTTATCTAAACTCATAGCCAAAGCAGAAAATGCTCATGATCACACTTAGCCAAGGTTTTCATGTAGTTGCAACACTCTACCTCAATTAGAAGCAATGCCTATGCATGCAGGCTATGGTTATATCCCAAAGCATCGACCAAGCAAATTGCTTATCTCTGCTTAGCCTTAGGGGAAAATATTAAAGTAGCTAAGTCTGTAACGCATTATCATCCAAAGTCTTCGACAATGAAAACATGGGCTTCTGATATCCAATATTTAAGACAAAATAAACATTTTACAATTTGGTACACGAATGCATAATGCGTTTCAGCACCATTTGTAACAAGGGACTCAAAGAAAAGCTAGAGATATTCCACATGTCATGTCAAATGGTAACACCATATTCTTATCTGGAGAGAATGCGCAATAAATATTATCGGTGTAGACTGGAATAACCAGATGCTAGAGATTGAGACTTCTCGCGTATTTTGCTGAACGTAACTGATTAGAAATTACAGCAAAAACAGACACGATTAAATGTAAATCAGTTTATATACATTCATATTTCATTATTATATGCATTGCGACCCATTTGTGTCCATTTCTGGGTCTCAAATATTAGCGATTTAGCTCCTTTAAATCGCCAACTCAAGTCAAGACATTCACCTAATGAACATCTACACCAAGTTTGCCCATTCTACCTCAATTATGGTACAAAGTCTTGACCAATCAAATCACTTATCAATACTTATAAGAAACAGTTACATAAAGTTTTGAACATTCTAGCTCAATTAGAAGCAGGGATCTTGTGTCTGACTCTGCCATTAATTTTTTATACACTGGCACATAAATATACTGAAATAAAAACGCACCACTTTTATAAATTTATGTTAGTAGATCTTGGATGAGAGATCAACACTGACCTAGCAATTCAGAATGTAACAACATCAGATCATGACAATAACATGTGGGAATGATGTTTTCACTATAGGCTAAACCCGGTAAACACACCCCAGATCAATCCTCTAACACACAAAATATTAATTTGCCGGAATGGAAATGTTGGAAATCACGATTTTATATTAATTCAACAGGGCATGAGTAGCCTACCATTGTACATTGTAAGTACTGGAACTTTAAATTTAAGGTAACAACATGTACATTTACATGTAAATGATCAACATAACAAAAATCTTTTTTTTTATACATAACAAAAGCATAAATATTTATTAACAAATATTTGGAGAAAATTATCTTGTTAAAAGCAATAATATGTATATTTTTCACAAATGTTTTTTACCATTTAATAAATCTGAGATTCCTTAGGATTCCTATCAATTTCTTGATATGAAATAGTAATATCAGGAGACATGAACTATGTTTTAATATTTGGAGAAAATTATCTTGTTAAAAGCAATAATATGTATATTTTTCACAAATGTTTTTTACCATTTAATAAATCTGAGATTCCTATCAATTTCTTGATATGAAATAGTAATATCAGGAGACATGAACTATGTTTTAACAAGCACTGTCAACATCATAGATAGAATTCTAGGCCATGGCACATTGTTTATTCACGATATGGTAAATTTAATCGTTTACTAGACTGTATCAACCCTTAATTACACCAATCGGCCGAAGTTTTATACATTTTTTACTGATACCAGCAGCATGGCAGGTATCAACCACATCCGTCACATTTTTGTATGACTCGGGAGCTTCTTCCATTACAAGTTTTGGAGATGCCACTCGGATACTTATACCCTTATCTTCCAAGGCAGCCAACACATTGTTGTAATCTAGGTTACGACGAGATTTTGCTCTAGAAAGTGCACGACCAGCTCCATGACATGTGGTGCCGAATGTCTGTTCCATACCTTGTTCTGTTCCAGTTAGAACATAGCTACATGTCCCCATAGTTCCTCCAATTAAAACAGGCTGACCTGTTAGTTGGTAATCAACTGGAATCAGCGGATGATGGGGAGGGAAAGCTCTTGTTGAACCCTTCCTGTGAATTAACAAAGTTTTCTGTTTACCATCAATGAAATGCTCCTCTACTTTAGCAATGTTATGAGATACATCATAAATAACGTGCATATCTAAATCATCCGGTGTTGTTTGAAACATTTTTGCTATGGCTTGACGAGTTAGAAAGGTCATACTGGTTCGATTGACCCAAGCATAATTAGCTGCAGCAGCCATTGCTTTTAAATAATTTTGACCCTCTGTTGAGCTGATTTGCGCACATGCCAGTTGTCGATCATTCACCTTGATATGATCACGTTTCATAGCCTTTTCCATAGCAACTAAAGCATCTGTAGCAACTTGATGTCCCATTCCTCGACTACCACTATGGATCATGATACAAACTTGATCCTTAAATTCTATTCCCATTTTCTTGGCAGCGTACTGATCATAAATGTCTTCAACAACTTGGATTTCGGCATAGTGGTTTCCAGCCCCTAAAGTTCCCAACTGTGGTAATCCTCTCTTCTTTGCTCTGCTGCTCACTTTTGATGGATCAGCTTGTAACATTCTCCCATATTCTTCACAATGTTCCTTGTCTTCTGCCCAAGCATAACCTTCTCTCAAACTCCAGTCCATACCCATTTCTAATGCCTCTTCTAAATTTTTGGCATTCATGGGTATAATTCCTTTAGAGCCAACACCCACTGGGATATGATCAAACATGCACTGTGTCAACTGTTCTTTCAATGGCAGGACATCTTTTAAACTCAGATTTGTTCTCAATAGACGTACACCACAGTTGATGTCAAAACCAACTCCACCCGGAGAAACAACAGCAGTAGGATCTGACATGTCAAAAGCAGCCATGTTGCCAATCGCAAAACCATAACCAGCATGACAATCAGGCAGACCAATTGAGGATCCTACGATTCCAGGCAAAGCTGCTACATTGGCAATTTGCTTCATTCCCGGTAGAAAGCCCCCCATACCTTTATTACCAATTGAATGTTTTAATTCGTCAAACATCAGCTTTTCCAGATGATCATTCACATAAAAACAACCATCCACTCTCATGTTGTCAACAAAACCCTTCTTTATTTTCCAACAATTCGGTGTCACCTTTTCAAGGAATTTAAGTTCATCTTGATATGTTCTCATCTTAATAATTAAAAAGTTACTAAACTGTTACTTAGACTGAATAAGTTCAATGGGTATTTTTTCTGTTATTATTATGTTGTGCAACACATGCCACAGCATCTGTTCGAGTGCTAGCTCTACAAATACGAAACTATATCCTTTGCAAATTTTAAACGTTCGAGAATTCTATTTACGGTTCTCGCTTTATTCTAATTTAAATCATATTTGTTACAAAAAATTATATTACAAACATAAATAGCCCCGAAAAGATAACATATTTTTTTTAAAAAAGGCATTAATACGCAACAATGTCCATTGAGCAGACGATTTCCAAGATGGCTGAAGAATTAGAAGCAACACTTTCAACTGTTCGACAAGAAACGGCTTTCTTGACAAAGTACTTTGATTTGCGGAAAAGATGCGAGCAAATGCAACAGGTTAGAATATATGTTATCTCATTAAATATGGTAAAAATCCAGAGCTGGTCTTCCAATCAGTGGCATCGCTTGCTTAGTCTGGAACTAGCCTAGTACTCAGATACTACTAGGAGAAGGAGGAGGCCTAGAAATGGTACCACTACTGATGTCTTCCGCCTTACTCCAGCCACAGTAGTGGCTCGTCCTTACGGAGTTCCTTTGCGCAAGTTTTTTAGTGAAATCACTACAAAAACTTTACTGGCCTATACCTCCCTTAATTTACACATAAACTGACCCAAAACAGTACTGCACCTAGCTTAACATATAATAAATCAATTCCTATTGAAATAAAGGTGAAGCCTTACCGCATAATTATATGATTTGATGAAACTCAATTGCTACGCGAAATTTCAACAGGCTGGTGTCATGGCCGCTTGTGTGTAATACGTCATCACAAGAAACATCGGTAGAACGCATAACCACAAAGAAAAACTTTTCGGAAACTGTTTAGTGGTCCAGTCTTAGAATTACTTGTCATAGAATTACTTATTCCAATACAAACTGTAATGATATGTGTTGACAATTGTGCGTTTGAACCTATTTGAACTTGCGTAAGGATTCTTAGACTGTATCAATTGTAACGTTAAACACACAGTTTAACGTTACAAGTATAGTAACTAGAGGAGGCCCTACGACTAGATTAGTAGATAAGAAACATCATCTCTCAACCCTCTGTGTTTCAAGATAAGAGATGGTGCTATATAGTTCGAACTGGCAAAACCCCATTGCTAATCACATAGGCCTTCTAATAAGCAAAACAAAGACTGATTATAATTATTGTTACTTCATTTCTGACACATCCAACATATGGCAACTTAAAGGAGCTAAATCGCTAACATTTGGGACCTAGAAATTGACACAAGTGGGGCGCAACTCATATGATACTGTAATATGAATGTATATAAACTGATATACATTCAATGGTTTCCGTTTTTACTCTAATTTCAAATCAGTTATGTTCCACGAAATAAGCCCGCAGTCTCAATCGAATGCAAATTTCTATCGCCTGGTTATTCCAGTCTACATACGCCGTTTGGTTTGGTGCAATATTTCTAGTCTCGTTCCTCGAGTCTCTTGCTAGAACTGGGGCTGAAACGCATTATGGTACACGATTTGTGTACCAATGGCAAAATGTTTATTTTGTCTTAAATATTGGATATCAGAAGCCCATCTTTTTTCGGTAAGATCAAAGCATCAATGTTGATTTAAATTGACAAATAATTTGTGTTTTCAATGTTGAATTTATACATAGTGTTTAAGGTCATGATATGAAGAAGTCTATTGATTGTCAACAATTTCCGATAATTACTGCCAGAGTTATGACCCTTGATCACTTTGAAATATCTTGTGAATGCTTTAGAGACTAAAGTTAATATCCGATTGACTTTAAATTTATACATAGTGTTTAAGGTCATGATATGGCGAAGTCTATTGATTGTCAACAATTTCTGATAATTACTGCCAGAGTTGTGGCCCTTGATCACTTTGAAATATCTTGTGAATGTTCTAAGAGGCTAAAGTTAATATCCGATTGAATTTAAATTTATACACAGTGTTTAAGGTCATGATAGGAAGAAGTCTATTGATTTTCAATGATTTCCGATAATTACTGCCAGAGTTATGGCCCTTGATCACTTTGAAAAATCTTGTGGGCGCTCTAAAGGCTAAAGTTAATATCCGATTGACTTGAAATTTATACACAGTGTTTAAGGTTGTGAGATGAAGAATCCTATTGATTTATACACAGTGTTTAAGGTTGTGAGACGAAGAAGCCCGGTGATTTTCAATGATTTCCAATAATTACTACCAGAGTTATGGCCCTTGATCACTTTAAAAAATCTTGTGGATGCTCTAGAGGCTAAAGTTAGTATCCGATTGTCTTGAAATTTATACACAGTGTTTAAGGTTTTGAGACGAAGAATAATTACCACCAGTGTAATGGCCCTTGATCCCTTTGAAATATCTTGTGGACACTCTAGAGTCTAAAGTTTATAGCTGATTGACTTTAAATTTATACGCACTATTTAAGGCCATGTGACGAAGAATCCTATTGATTTTGAACTATTTTCGATAATTACTCCTTAAACATGCATTATGCAAGAGCAAAATCTGCTTATTACAAGTCTTTCTTTAGGCCTGAAATGTTATCTAAATTATCAATTAGACATTAATTAACTTATCCAGACCATAATAAACTCTCGATGTCAAGGCTAGCCTTCAATGTTGGCTGGATTAGATTCCTATATGCCGCTAACGGCCATTGATAATTAAATCAAAAAAAGTGGATAATCGAGACTATACTGTTTACAAAGTATATTAATGATTTTAGTAATGATGACCGAGACTGTGCAAAAATTTCATCCGCTTCTTTCTCGGCTCATAGTGGATCAATTTGACTGAAATTTTCAGCAAATTACCTTTACACTATCTAGTTTTTAACTATTATAGCGAGAACTGCCATCTCTTTATCTTATCTCCCATAGTGTATCTTTAAGTTATAGACCTAGGTCTCTTTGAAATTTTTTTTAGAGGCTCTTGAGGCTAAAGTTAATATGTGATTAAGGTCATGAGACAAAGAATCCTATTCATTTTCAACAATTTCCGAAAATTACTGCTGAGTTAGGCCCTTGATCACTTTGAAAAATCTTGTGAACGTTCTAGAAGCTAAAGTTAATATTAATTGTTTATGGTCATGAGACAAAAAATTGAAACAAATTCTAATGTTTTCTGATAATTACTTCATGGGTTATTACTCCTAATCAGATTTTCATGTGTTGTAAATGTTCTCATTACTGACAAAAGAAAAAATATGCAACAACACTTGTTGAGTGCCCTTACAACATAGGTTCTGTGGGCGTATGTTTCAATGCCTGGCAACCTTTCTTTATTTTATTTGGACAATAAGACCAGATAAGTATTGTTGATTCATCATTAATTAAAGTGACAAAATGATCAAAACCCATTATTGTAATTTGGAAGTTAGATCAAGCACAAAGCTCATGTAGTCCTTTGTTTAAAGTTGCAATTTCATATTTTTAAGTTATATTTTTAAAATTTATTAAAATAAAGCCTTAAAATAGACGGTATCTATAAACAGTCCTACCTTGTTAAAGAATAATCCTATAATTCACTATTGACACGCCAGTTGAGAAATTGGCAAAAATATCATTTCATCGACAAATTCAAACGTTTGAAGTTAGCTACTCCATGGTGGAGAATAGAAAACAAGGGAGGTAATTGTGTTATTATTTCCGGTGTAAATGGGTTTTAAGTGTGAGAATGACACCTATGATTGTATAATAGTGAGTTGACAACCTATTAAGCAAAAGACATAGAAATAATTATGTTTTGACTTTCTTAGAAAATATGAAATTGTAACCTCCATGGAGGTTTACCTGTTAAACAGTTAAAATTGCACAAATTTTAAACAGAACAGTTGTCATATAACCTTGCATGATACTGATAATTGATCAAATACTTACTTATAAAATAATGCCTTATCCTTGCGGCACAATGAAAATAAAGTTTTAATTTGTCTTTTAACAGGCAAATGAGAAAATGGTAAATAGACTCCAGCATGTTAAGAAAATAATTAAACGACATAAGAGAGAAAAAAAGTAAGTCACTGATTACTGAGCCAGTAAATTAAAATAATTATAATAAATCTGCTTCCTCCACCACATACTGTAATAGATCACAACAATCACAGTTTTGCTCTCTACTCGAAATCTACAAATCAGTCAATCTTTACTTAAAAAAGATTTTATCCATCCAACTTACTAATTTACTATTAAAATGGATACAATACAGGTGAAATGTTAATATTATGATGTGTACATGGAAAAGAACACCCCAGAATTAAGATTAAAAATAATGTTTAACCGTTGTTTTTCTATATTTTAGATTTCTAGAAGCTAGATTAGTAGAATATGGTGATAACTATAAAGAATCTCAGGTTCCAGTTAGCTGGGAAGTAGGTGACCTTTAATGACATCATATTTCAGAATTTTATTATTGTTCCCCGCCATTCGTCCGTCGTCCACAATTTCTTGTGAACACTCTACAGATTACATTTATCATCAGATTGTTTTGAAATTGATATATGTTGTTTACATTAGTGAAATTAAGAAACCTATTTAAATACAAAAATTTCCTTTAACTTCTTCTGGAGTTATGGCCCTTGTTTAACTTTTGGAATTGTTAGCGCGTGCACGCTGTATCATAAGATCTGTCATTGTGTCAACTCGCATGGTTCCGATTCTCCAGTTGTACATGACAACTTGACAAGGACTGAAGGAGTTGGGTTGCCTGTCCAACCTTGTGGGTTTTCTCCCAATCCTCCGGTTTCCTCCCATGGCAAACGAATTATGTTAGTCCCGAAATGACATAGTTTATGTCGAGTGGTTGTTAAACCCCATTTCTCTCTCTTATTGCACCTTGTGAACGCTCTAACTACAAAATTATCATCTTAACTGTAAATTTATATGCATCGTTTAATTTAGTGAAACAAAGAAACCTATTGATTTTCAGCAATTTTCTGTTAATTAGTCTAGAGTTATAGCTCTTGTTTCACTTTGTAGAATCCTGTGAACGCTCTCACAACAAATGTTATCATTCCATCTGTATAAAATTTATATGAATTATTTTAATTAGTGAAATGAAGATGCCTATTGAATTTGAACAATTTCTGTTAATTACATTTAGAGTTATGGCCCTTGTTTTACTTTATTGCACCTTGTGACCGCTTGAATGACAAAAGTTATCACCTTATCTACATGAAATTTATGTGCACCATTTAAATTATTGAAACAAAGAATCCTATGGAATTTCAGCAATTTCTGTTAATTTCTTCGTGAGTTATGATCCTTGTTTCACTTTGTTGCACTTTGTGAACCTCCGACGACAAAATTTATCATCTGATCTGTATGAAATTTGTATGGATCATTAAAATTATTGAAGCAAAGAAGCCTATTGAAGTTTAGTAATTTACGTTAATTTCTTCTTGAGTTATCACGCTTGTTTAACTTTGTTGAACTTGTGAACATTCGTATGAATCTATGATGAAAGGTATCATCTGATCTATGTGAAACTTAAATGCATCATTTAAGTTAGTGAAATGAAGAAGCCTATTGAATTTCAGCATTTTTCAATAATTACTTTTCGAGTTATGGGCCTTGTTTTACTTTGTTGAACAATGTGAACGCTCGAATGATATTCATCATCTGATCTATATGAAATTTATATGCATTATTTAAATTAGTATAACAAAAAAGACTGTCGAATTTACTTCCAGAGTTAAGGCCTTTGTTTCAGTTTGTAGCACTTTGTGAATCCTCAAAGGACGGAAATTATAATCTGATCTGTATGAAATTGTCTTGTAAATGCCCCCATTACCTACAAAAGATTAAATATGCAACAACCCTTGTTGGCCGCTCAGACAATTTAGCTGCTGTGGGCGTATGTTTCATTGCCTGGGAACCTATCTTTTGTATTGTATTTACAGGAGGATCAACTATTTAATTGTTTAAGACAAAATGAACCACCACCTTACCCTAAACCTAGTCAAGATGAAGATACATCCACTGGTGATAATGTAGCCAAAATGTCTGCTGACAAATCATCAGCATTATCTTCAATTCAACCATTTCTGGAAGCTTATAAAAAAGATGGTGTGCCGTCCAAGTCACGTAAAGTTAAATCTGAGAAAGAGAAAGATCCCAATGCCCCCAAAAAACCTGTTAATGTCTTTCAATTGTTTTGTCAAGAACAGAAACCAGTTATACAGACCTTGTACTTTCAGGTATTGCTTGACATTTATATTTTGTAAATGACTACTGTGAATACGAAACAATTCTTTAGCTCTAAAGAATGATAGCTGTGATTACGGTTACTTGGCTAAAACAAGTAGAATCGGTCAGACAGATTATCTTTTTATATGCCCACATTTTCATGTGGACGTATGTTGTTGCCGCCTCTGTCCGTCACAATTTTTGTCCGATTTAGACGAAACTTGAAATATAGGTAGGTCTCCCAAAGATCTCGGTTCCTTTCAAAATTGGCGTGTATCGGACCGTAACTTCAGGGATTATGGCCCCTAAGTGTATGAAATATCACGTTTTTAGTTTGTGGACCCTCTAGAAGTCACAATTTGTATTCAATTTTAAAAACCTTTTATATATATATCATCCCACTACTTGTATGCAAATAGTGTAAAACCAAGGTTGTGGACCCTCTAGAAGTCACAATTTTGATGAATCTTGAAATTTATGTTTATAACGCAAAGATCTTGGTTCCTGTCGATAATTGTGCATATTGGACCATAAATACCTGGATAATGGCCCCAGATTGTACGAAAAATCATGTTTTTTTAGCTTGTGGAACCTCTAGAGGTCACAAAGTCTTATCCGGTTTAAAAAAAAAGACGTTTAAATATATCCCTGTTACACCTTAATGATAGTGGAGTTTGAATTTCATGAAAATCGGACCAAAACTGCCTGACAAAATGGCTGCTACTTGTACGCAAATAGTGTAAAAGTATGTAATTCAAAGGTTGTGGACCCTCTAGATGTCACAATTTTTATCAAATCTTGATGAAACTTATAATGTATGATTATATTCAATAGATCTTGGTTCCTTTCGATATTCATGCATATCCAACCGTAACTTCCTGAATTATAGCCCCAGATTGTACAAAAAATCACTTTTTTTTTAAATTTATTTTTTAGCTTGTTCTCTATCCCTCTCTTGCAAAATGTGGACATATACTGCCTGGCAACCACTGGTTTATTTCCTATGTCTTTTATGGGAGAATATTGGATAGAACTGGACGAATAAATTAATGTTTTAATAACATACATGTATCTTTATGTTTTCAACAAGCAACCGTAGTTGTGCAAATGTCCATAGCTTATATTGGTCTATATGAATGAGACGGGGGAGGGGGAGTATACATAATTAGGGGACTATTGGAAAACTATTAGAATACAGGCTATGAAGCTATGCGTAGTCAAAAGCTTGCTCTTACAAGGTGTGATTTGATGATAATCAAAGTATGGAGTTCGAAGATGAGCATTTTCTGCTTAGGGTAAGCAGAGATAAGCAATTTGATTGGTCGATACTTTGGAACACAATAACTCTGCTTCTAATTGAGGTAGAATGTTCAAACTTGGTGTAGTTGTTCATCAGGTGAATGCATTGATGGAGTTCGATGAAAAACATTGTCTGCTTACGGTAAGTAGAGATAAGCAGTCTGATTGGTTGATGCTTTAGGGCACAATAACTTTGGTTTTAATTAAGTGAGAGTGATGAGACTCTGAGTATAAATTTATTATATCATTACCTTGACTAAGTTCGATGATGAGAATTTTCTGCTGAGGCTAAGGAGCGATAAGCAATTTGATTGGTCAAGATTTGGAACATAACAACTCTGCTTTTAATTAAGGTAGAATGTTTAAACTTGATGTAGATGTTTATTAGGTGAATGTCTTGACTGAGTTCAATGATCATCATTTCGAGCTTGGTCGATGTTTTGGGACAAGATAACTTTGATTCTATCTGATAGAGAGTGATGAAACTTAGTGTATAGTTGATAATCAGTTTGATATGTGATTGCTTGATACTTTTGAAAAAAATAAATGTGCGATTACCGATTAATTAATATGTGTCATCTATTTATTTTCGGATTTCGGTGGGGGATATCAGCCTCACTGTTGGCTTGTTCATTTTGTAAGGTAGAGATTTTTATGTTAAATAATTTAAGTGGAATGTATTTTTAATCTGATTCTGAATTTTAATTGACTTTTTTCTGTTTTCAGGAAAATAAAGAAGATATAGCTCATCATGAACTAACAAGGAGATTAGCACAGAAATGGCATATAATGTCACAAGAAGATAAACAGGTTAGTTACTCATTTTTTGTCTCGGATATCTTGCAACACTTATAAGGAAATATCAAAACACCCTTTATTATGTTATACAAATAATGAAACTTCTTTCAAGCAAATAACATGTATACAAATAAGCAATACAGCATTTTTTAAAAATTGTTTTAAACATCAGGAAGGTTGGGTGGCCAAATGGTTAACGTGTATCATGAGATCAGTGGCGTGGTTTTGATACTTTGCTTGTAGCTTGTATGTGACATGGAGTAGGGTCTCCTGTCCAACCCTAAGGGTTTTCTCTGGGTCCTCCGGTTTCCTCCCACTGCTAAAGACCCCTATGCGCAAGTGAATTAATGAAATAAAAATTGAACCATATGTTAGTCCCAAAATGACCTAGTTTGTGTTGAGTGGACGTTAAACCCTATGTCTCTCCTCTATCTATTGTAAACATCCCCATCATTGTACATGTCGAGGATTTGAGTCAATGACTTAAACATGTGAATTTTCTCTGAATGATTCTGTGTCATCTGCTAAATACCACTAGATATGCAAGCTAAATACCCCTCAATATGCAAGCTATATAATAAAATTACTACCAGTATTTAATGTAAGTTAGTACAAAAGGACCTGTGCCCCCTCTTTTATGTATCAATAACCAGTCAAATTCTGTCATCATATCTTTTCTACTTCATAGGTTTATTATGATTTACATGAACAAGAAAACCAAAGATATCATCAAGAGATGCAGGTTTATGAAAATAAGTCTGAAGTTTTGAACAAACCAGTGGACATTTTAAATCAAACTTCTGAAGCCAATCTTGCTGCCCTTCATCTACCGTCTCAATTAAGTGTTAAACAAGAAGTAGACTAAATAGGAGATGGTGTAAATAAATGATATCATATGTTGTAAAGACAGTTTTGTATATTGCTGGACAAGCTTCATGTTGAAGGAAACTAGTATATTTTGTAGTTTTATAAAGCTGATAAAAGAAACTGACAGGAGAGAGACAGTATGATTAAGCTTGCTGTGGACTTATGATTACTTTTTAAAAACTTGTTTTAAGTAATCGTTAATGTATCCTGCTAGTTTGCTTTAGTTAATACAAATCACATATTTGTTAATGTGTATAGCAGGTGTAATGCAGTCTTACTTACAAAGCCATCAAATAACTACTGGCATAAGTTCTTTGATTTCCTTGCCTAATTTGGTTGGTTGTGCTCAATTTCTAATAAATTATTAACTTATCACTACACAGAAACAAATAGAAATCCAGATGACAAACCTGCAGTCAAGACATATCACATGGACATTGCAAGTACTATCAAATCAAATGAACAGATCCGAGGACTGTGCTACACAGTCTCAGGCCTGTGGTAATATTTCATTTTTATACCACCACATTTTCATGTGGATTTATATTTTTTATCGCTCCTGCCCGTTCGGATGACCATCAGTCTGTTCACATTTTGTTTGTTGACACTTTTTATCCAATTTTGGCAATCTTGGATCCTTTCGATATTGGACAATAACTTCATGGAATATGGCCCCTGTTTGTAGAAATTTCGATATTTGGGCATATCGGATCATAACTTCTTGGATTATGGCCCCTTTGTATGAAAAATCACATATTTAGCTTGTGATACCTCTAGATGTCAAAATATTTATCTGATTTTACAGACCGTTCAAATATATCACCGTTACACCCTAATGACAATTGAGTTCTAATTTTGTGAAAATCGGACCGAAACTGCCCAACAAAATGACCGCTCCTCGTATGCAAATAGTGTAAAAAGTAAAAGTATGTAATACCAACCCTTAGGTCACAATTTTTATACGCCCACATGGAAATGTGAGAAACTCCCAATCAATAGAAACAGGTAACACAAACCAATTACAGACGGTTTGATGGGATCAAGTTTCACTAAGTCAGTATGATGCAATTGATATTCAGATAAGTTGATATAAATAATTAAAAAAACAACATTGTTTTATCCAACATTTCTTGTGAACACTCTACAGACTACATTTATCATCTGATTGTTTTGAAATTGATATATGCTGTTAACATTAGTGAGATGAAGAATACTATTTAATTTCCGTTAATTTCTTAAAATATCACCACTACACCCTAATGAGTTCGAATTTCGTGGAACTCAGACTGAAACTGCCCGACAAAATGGCCGCTACTCATGTGCAAATACTGTAAAAGTATATTTGTATGTAATAATTAACAAGTTTGAGGACTCTCTAGAGGTCACAATTGGTGTATTTGCATGGCAACTGCTTGTTTATCAAGTCTAAAGAATGCCCTGTACCTGTTGCACAAAGTGAAATTTAAATCACTAATTTGTGGCTTACATCATGTGTATGGCTTCCACACATAACTTGCTTGAAGAGCATAACACTTTATAGATTTCTGTGTTCATGGCTCATTAATCTTCACTGTAATTTAATTTCAGTTTAAAGGACACTATCTATAATTCAAAAACAATTAGTAGGGATTTTTAATGATAAAATATTTATTACTATTTTAGGAAGGGAAACCTCATAATAATTGACTTATGTTAGTTTGAGCTGTTAAATAATGGTACTATATAATTATGTTGTTCTAAATAAACAGACGATATTAAGTATGTGGTTTTGATCGCACAAAAGTGGCAGGCAATTGGAGAAAAGGTTAACTTTTGTTTATTGTCAAAGAATTTCTAGAATTTGTTTGCATGTCAATTGATTAAAATGAATATAATGTAAGTATTCAACAATAAAATGATTGTAATTTGTTATGCAAATTTCAGCAATTTAATTTTAAGAATTGAACTCAGTTATTTTGAGCAATGTCATTAATTGTTTGATAATATTTTTGTCAATAAACATTATCAAAGCAAAATTTGACCTGCCTTATATAGTTTACCTTTAACTGCAACTTCACTTAAAGGAGCTAAATCGCTAATTTTTTGGACCTAGAAATTGAAACAAATGGGTCGTAACGCATATAATAATGTAATAGGAATATATATAAACTGATTTACATTCAATCGTTTCCATTTTTACTCTTAATTTCAAATCAGTTACGTTCGGCGAAATATGTCTGAAGTCTCAATCGAATGAAAATTTCTAGCGTCTGGTTATTCTAGTCTACATAGTATTTATTGCGCATACTCTCCCAAAATGGATATGCCGTCACCGTTTGACATGACTTGTTGAATGTCTAGCCTCGTTCTTCGAGGGGGGGTTGGGTGGCCGAATGGTTAGCATGTGCGTGCTGTATCATAAAGCCTGTCATTGAGTCAACTGGCATGGTTTCGAATCCCCGGTTGTACGTGACAAGGAGTAGGGTCGCCTGTCCAACCTCGTGGGTTTTCTCCGGGTACTCCGGTTTCCTCCCACTGCTAAAGACCCCTATGCGCAAGCGAATTATTGAAATAAAATTAAACCATATGTTAGTCCCGAAATGACCCAGTTTGTGTCGAGTGGACGTTAAACCCCATTTCTCCCTCTCTCTCTCGTTCTTCGAGTCCCTTGTTAGAATGGGCCTGAAACGCATTATGATACACGATTCGTGTACCAATGGTAAAATATTTATTTTGTCTTAAATATTGGATATCAGAAGCCCATCTTTTCCCGGTAAGATCACAACATCAATGTTGATTTAAATTGACAAATAATTTGTGTTTTCAATGTCGAAGATTTTTGATGATACTGAGTTAGAGACTTAGCTACTTTAAGTGGGGACTGAAATGTTTGAATCTTGTTGAATCAATGACATTGAAGATAAGATTCATATATAATGAAGATAGTTTCATATATAATGAAAATAAGATTCATATGTAATGAATAAAGAAATTGGTTCCACAGCTGTTTGCCCTCCTGTCTTTGTAGGCCCATTGTAGTCCACTTTCTCCATCAGAGTTATATCTTTGTCTACTAGACAATTTATATTTAGTGAATGATTTCGGCTCATAATGATAATGTGCAGAAAGACAAGAATGTAAATGGTTGTGTACAGGAAAACCCTATATCAAAATTTATGTCACTTGACATTCAAGATTTCTATCAAATCTGTGGATCACGATATAAACCTGATAACTCACAAAAACTTTCAACTGAGAAATGTGGCTTATAGTTTGAATAGTCCTGTACTCGTACCTAGCGTTATCTGGGCCCTGTTTCTCGAAATCTTAACTAAAGATAAAATCCAAATTATAGTAGATACTTCAATTTTGATTGGCTAAGCACTAAATTCAATCTAATATTATCCAATCAAATTACTAAAATTTGGATTCTATCTTAGTTAAAAGTTTGTGAAACAGGCCCCAAGATATGTTTTAAAAATGTGAAAATGGACGTTAAAAATAAGTCGATAGCCGTCATTAAAAATTTGACCACTGGCATTATGTTTGAGAGAGAAATGGGGTTTAACGTCCACTCGACACAAACTAGGTCATTTCGAGACCAACATATGGTTTAATTTTATTTCTATAATTCGCTTGTGCGTAGGGGTCTTTAGCAGTGGGAGGGAACCGGAGGACCCGGAGAAAACCCACGAGGTTGGACAGGCGACCCTACTCCTTGTCATGTACAACCGGGGATTCGAAACCACGCCAGCTGACTCAATGACAGGCCTTATGATACAGCGCGCATGTCCTAACCATTCGGCCATCCAACCCCCCGGCATTATGTTTGAACAAAAGAAATGATTGTAACATTTGCCTCTTTGTGGGTATAAATATTACAATCAACATAATTTTCATATACCCACATTTTCATGTTGTCTTCACCCCCGTCCGTCCGTTCGTCCACATTTTGTTTGGGGTCACAATTCTTATCCGATTTTTACAAAACTTGAAAATTTGGTTTATCTCCAAAAGATCTCAGTTCCTTTCGATATTGGCATGTATTGATTCGAAACTTCATGGATCATGGCCCCTGATTGTAAGAAAAATCACGATTTGTAGACACTCTAGAGGTCACAATTTTCATCTGATTTTGAGAAAACGTGAAATGCATGTTTATAACCTAAAGATCTTGGTTCTTTTTGATATTTGCACATGGGATCGTAACTCCCTGAATTATGGCCCCTGATTGTACGCAAAATTGCATTTTTAGCTTGTGGTCCCTTTAGAGGTCACAATTATTATCCGATTTATATCCCAAATATTACCGTCCATTTTGATATTCATGCATTTCAGACCATGGATTATGGGCCCTAATTTAATGGTACAAATTTTTTACAAAGCTTGTTCTCCATCCATCTCTTGCAAAATGTGGGCGTATCTGGCGCATCTTTCCTGGCAACTGCTGGGGTTTTTTTTAAAAAGTCATTGGCCATGAAATAACATTAGAATGAGTTTTTAGGGTCGAAGTTAACGGAGAAGGAAAAAATAACGCTAAAATTTTCTAAACTCTCATTAAATTTATAAATAGAGTTTAGTCCCTTACACGCAGAAAAAAGAGTGGCTTCCCATATTGATCATTTATTAATTAATAATTGGGAAAAATGTTCATTATTACTTGGTTTTTTATCTGCTTAGTTTGATTGAAAGAAATAATCACAATTGTCATTTTGATTACTGACAGTATTTAGGGAACAATTAGGATCGAGCACGTCTATTTGTATGAATGTTTTTCATGATATTTTATTCATAAAATGATTGCTCCTACTTACCAGAACCGGAAATAGCATTGTTTACCTCAACAACTGAGTAAGTGACTCAGTAAAGTTTCTAAGACTCAAGCAACTCAAAAGATATGACAGCAGAAAGAATTGATATGACAGAGGAATTGGATTCGCCTCTTGAGAAATTCGACATTTTTAAAGGTATTGACAAATGTTTAGTCCTGGGTAAACTTCAAAGCCTGAGAAGCTAATAATAGTAATAAAAACCTCTAATATTTTAATACTACTAGATTGAATTGATAACTAGTACTAGTTACTAGACTAGGCTAACTCAATAATTCCCATAAATGGCATACTATTTGAATTTAAACACATGAATTAGAATTCAATATTGCTGTTTTTCAATCAATATTGATGTTGATGAGCCAATATATGGCCTGAAATATATATATTCATTAATAGTCTATCGGCCTAGTATGTTGACCCGGCTACTTTTGACTCAACCCCTAACACTAGTAACACTAACATTAACCCTAACCCTAGAGTAGCAGGATCAATGTACTGCGCCTCTGTATCTACCAGTAAACTTTTTACATACATGTATGTATGCAAGGTCACAGTTAAAGTAGTACTAGTTAAGTCTCTAACTCAATATCATCCAAAGTCATCGACATTGAAAACAAAAATTATTTGTCAATTTAGATCAACATTGATGTTGTGATCTTACCGGGAAAAGATCAGCTTCTGATATCCAACATTTAGACAAAATAAACATTTCACCATTGGTATACAAATCGTGTACCATAATGCTTTTTAGTGCCATTTGTAACAAGGGACTTGAAGAATGAGGCTAGACATATTTCATAAGTTATATCAAACGGTGCCCCATACTCTTATCTGGAATAACCAGACACTAGAAATTGCCATTGATCAATTGAGACTTCTGGCATATTTCGCCGAACATTACCATATCTGCCAACTGTCACGCATTTGGTGTGAGAATCACGCATTTTTAATCAAAATCACGCTCTCACAGGCACATAGTGAAATCTCACGCATTTTCAAAACTATAGTATAAAAGTAAAATAAAAATGATTTCCGCGTACGAGTTACATTCGGATGAACATTGATGAGATGCAATTAGTCAAAAGTTTCTTTGTATCGTCGCCGATCAATCAAACAGTGACTGCTATTTGAGAACTTTAACTTAAAGACATGTTTTTTATATTTTGAAGTAACAATTCTAACAATTTATATACTGAAGTGTATTGGAATTAATGATTATTGCCACTAATATTCATTCCAAGTGATCATGTAAATTGTAGTTCATTTATTCTTCTTTGCCAAACCTGTTATGATCTGCATTAAAACTTTTAAGTACTAAATCCTTTAGGACCTGACCAGAGGCGTGGTCCCTGGACCCCAGCTTCGTTAAATCTCAACCATTGCAAACATTTTAGGTTGGCAGCTCTGCATAACCGATTAGAAATTACATTAAAAACAGAAACAATTAAATGTAAATCAGTTTATATACATAAATCATTATTATATACGTGGTGCAACCAATTTAAGTTAATTTCTAAGTCCCAAATTTTATCGATTTAGCTCCTTTAAGTAAAATGCCCCATTTTATCAGACGTTGCAGCATTACATGTCAACATTCTGAACTGTGTATCATTGCCAAAATTAGAAAGTTTATTACAATATATAGATGCAGGGGTGGGGGGTTAGAGTCAACTCGCGTGGTTTCAATTCCCCTGTTGTGCGTGACAAGGAGTAAGGTCGCCAAGGGCTCACACTGTCGGTCGCAATTTGCGATAAAAATATGAAATTGGCGATTAAAATTTGATTTTGGCGATAATGTTTTGCGTTACTGGCGATTCTTTTTGAGAACTGGCGGGAAAAAAACCTTAAAATTCTAATCGTATTTATCCTGGATTAACCATTATTGAGTGTCAATCTTGTGGCGGAGTACTATAAATTAATCGACTGGTTCATAATCCGGATCACATCAATGAGTAATACTAATCAGTTGTCTTGGATTAATGATTAGTTGATTAATAATTGCCAATGATATATATAAAGCCTATCTCAAGTCATTATTTACTCTTAATGATTTAATCAAACCGGTGATTATTTGATGTTTCATTTCGTCTTAAAAAAAAATGGTTATACATGTAATCAAATGGTCGACAGTTCCTTTCAAAGAAAATTAAATATTTTGATAGCTGAATTCCGTTTACTGTGGCTTCATATACGGCTTGTAAAATATACAAGTATGCCTATTAGATATCATTATTTCAAATTATATTATCACCATTGGTCCAAAATGTGAGAACGAGTTGAATAAAGACGGTTCTTGAGCGAGAAAACAGTTTGCCATTTGTATCATATTACCATCGCCAAAATGCTATAATAGTGAACGACGGTTATAGTTGTAAGCAGTTAAAGCACCTCTTACAAATATAACTGAAATTTATACCATTCTCTATCAGGGATTCAGATTCTGATACCTTTACGGTACCTGAAAATAACAATAGCTGAGACATAAAATTGTTAGATGTTGTCTTTTTATCACACATTTTTGGCAGATAAAATATTCCAGTTGGCAGAAAAAAATACAAACATTTTTTTATATAAAAATTATCATCCATTTTGGCGGGAAAAAAAAATAAAAGCCAGTGTGAGCCCTGTGGGTTTTCTCCGGGTCCTTCGGTTTCCTCCCACTGCTAAAGACCCCTTTGTACGAGCAAATTATTGAAATAAAATTGAACCATATGCTAGTCCCAAAATGACCTAGTTTGTGTTGAGTGGACCCTAAATTAACTCTCTCTCTCTCTCTTCCCCCCCCCCCACTCAGGTAGTGATAACCTTTTGCTAATAGAAAGGAATGCAAAAATCTTTCTGAAAGGCACCTAAACTGTGGAACAAATTATCTTTTAGCCTAAGAAGCTGTGCAGCAATTTTGACTTTTAAATCAAAACTCAAAACTTTTTGATTTACCAAAGCTTTTTATTAACTTTGGTATTGTCTTTTTATCTGAATTCTGTTTTTATAGTTCTGTTTTCTACAGTAATTTTATATATTCATATTTTTCCTTTGAAGATACTTTCCCACAAAAGTATTTATCAGGTGGGGTTTTTTTTTCCAATGGATAATGGCTGAAGACTGTCCATTATGTGAATAGAAAGAACAACTGAGGGGCGTTAGACCCAAAGTTTTTCTTTGTATTTACATAATGGACATTCTGAGGCTATTATCAAACTTAAAACATAACACCATAGAGATACGAATAATGGATAGTTTTTTAAAAGAACAAGCCACAAAATAATGGATATATTCTTAAAACAACATGCACATGAATGCATGTGACAAAACAATCAAGTCATACAATGCAAGCATGCACAGACAGTCCAAAATATTGACATGGAGACCACATGTTTATAACACAGTTGAAAACAAATATTAATAATGAGAATATATGTGATAAGCATTTGGATACTGATTATATTTGGTAATGTACTCGATACGGAAGATATCAGCCGTGAAAATTGTGATGTTCTTGATATGGGGGATAATAGCCGTCAAAGTTGTGATGGAAAGCCTGCTCACGAAAATCATTTAGATATTGATAATATTCTTAGTACTGTGGTTAATATGGGGGGGTACTAGGCGTCCAAATTTTGATTTGAAATTTAATATATACTCTGATATAAGTGACAGGACAACCTCATGGGTTTTCTCTGGGTCCTCCGGTTTCCTCCCACTGCTAAAGACCCCTACACACAAGCGACTTATTGAAATAAAATTGAACCATGTGTTAGTTCTGAAATGACCTAGTTTATATCAAGTGGATGTTAAACCCCATTTCTCTTTCTCTCTCTTATATGCTGGAAGGTATCGTTAACTACTTACATGTATTTTATTGTTTTGTATATTGTATCTTTTTAAGTTTGTAAAGAGAATCTAGGCACTTAGGTGAAAGATGCGCTATATAAATACACAATAACAATGTACATTAATGTATATTAATGGTATCTAACCTAGGTTATTGTTTTGATTGTCTACAAATTAAGCTGCTGTAGTAAAGAAAATATTTCAGCCATTATTTTTGTTATTAATAAGTATTTTATTGGCCTTCTTGGGCTATTACTAATTATTCGAAGTTTTAAAGTAAATCCAATGCAATGATTATAGTGAGCTGCCACTGCTACAAGGGCTACAAAAGTCAGTGTTTTTTGGGTTGTATTCATGTTTAAAAAAAATTTCTTATTGAATAAAAAATTGCAGATAAGTTAATTTTCAGTTATGCTCAGTGATCACTTGTTCAGTGATCACTTTCAGAGTATGCTATTGCCCTCTAGATTAATTTTAAATGATTATAATGATTTCCTCATGTTGATTCCTTGTTGTGTACATCAAAATAGACTATTTGTGACGATATTTCATTGAGACTTAGAATTAACTCCATTTACAAAGGCCTTCAATCACTATACAATCCAAAAAGTTAATTAAAACCACTAACGGTATTCATCATCCATATAGTCTGATATAAAAATAGTTTGAATGGAATCACAGCTGATAAAAATGTTCATGCTTTACTTAAAGATGGGTTCCCGCGTACAAACTGGGTGATTTAATGGTATATATGGACCAAAAACATATTCAAACTAATTAATTTGTCATAATTATGCTTCAAATCCTTCTCAAACATTGTAATTGCGAAGGAATGCCCTGCTATTAACATTCGATCAAACAAGGTCATGTTTACGTCACGTCTTGGGAGTCAGAGGAGAATTCATTGCATACATAAGACGATGTTGTCTTTAATCGCTTACTATTTATTACAAATATCGAATCCTAATTAAATTCTCGGATTATCCACTAACCGCATCTTTTTCCGTCATTTTTATCTCAGAAAGTATTGTACGCCTAACTCTTCATAAAGTTTATCAACTTGTACATCAAGCTCTCAATGTTCGCTTGTGACCTTTGACATCATGTGTGCAGAAGTTCCTAATCGTCGGGCTGTTGATTAGGGGAACCCTTACATTTTGTCCTGTATACGCTCCATGAGTGTTTATCGGGGAATCCAGTATTTTTCTAGTAAGATTGGATATCTCTACTTTCCATATATACCAAAATTGCCATACTTTTATTGGAAATAACCACCCGATAAATACTTTTCTGGGAACCCATCTTTAAAGTGCACATAAGATGGGCCTGGAAACTTTGAGATACATGTAGCCAATGGTTACTATATCCACTTTACGGCAAGTTCAGTTATCTTCACTCAAAGTCGTAAAAATAGACCTTCTGTAAAAACGACTTTGCCAATTATCGAAAACACTCTTAATCCCCTCAGACGCCAGTGACGTCACAGTGACCGAATGCATATTCGAAATGTTTATTCCTTAATTACCTATATACAGCCGGCGTGTGTATTCTTTAATTCCTTAATCCCCCTAATTAAATAAAACAATTGACTACGGAATAATTTGTTTTGTAATTCATTTTAATTTAAGATCCAATTTAGAGTGCCTACAACTTTTAAACTTTGAAGTCTTGAACTCTTAATTAATTTTTTACAATATGGAACTTATTGGACGAACACTTTTAATATGTAAATACTATACGGGTCCAGCTATGTGGTTTTTACTGCGAGCACTTCGCTTTTCCACATAAAGTGTAGTGTCGTTAATATCTGTCATTAATTAATCAATCCGACTATAAAAGTTATACAGGCATAAACTAATTTACACGTTGGTGTTAGCAGTGAGTGTTAGTGGGATTAAGAATGTTGATTAGGTAGAATCATACACACACACATTAATTGCATAAAATAATTAAGTTTTACTAATAAGTTGTTTAAAATTACTATATACCCAGTAATTATTGCTCACCGGTGTTTTTGTAATCAAGTAGCCTCGTATTATTTGTTGATTGGCGTTTAAACAACATTTAATTGATGGATGAATTAAAGTTTTTGATACGATTAGGTTATAATGTCTAACATCGGTTATCTTCTTTATAATAAAAGTATTTTACAATTGCATTGACAGTTTAATCACTCACCAAACGGCACCAGGAACTCCACGAATGATCCTGTGCAATTTTCGCGGCGAAGTTTAACCTCATTTACTACACCCGTAGTACATGGAACGGTACATGATAATAAGATACCAAGCGTTGATTGGCAGAGAAATGAGTGCGATCTATTGTACATGTTATGCATAGTCATCGGAAAATACCATATTCACTGTAGTTGTTCTTTATGTATAGAAATGGTTATTATTATTATATATAGCTAATAATGAATATATCGACAAATGACTGGCACCATTTGTATTTCTGTACTTAAGTTTGGGATATCAAGTATTACGGGGTTATCCAAATTACCGGTAAATGCGCTAATTTCTTGAGTCATCTTCATTTGACACATGGCCTATTTAAACAAAGGCAGCTTAAATTGATCTACGGCATGATACAGCATTTTAAATTCACTCTAAAATATTCCAATCACAATTGTCTAATCTATACCAATGAAAGACGATAATTCGGTGATTATGATTAGGCCAGTCACGTGGTAATTGGACCGTCAATAGACTCTTGTCCAGTTGCCGTGTGTATTGATAGTGCTATATTATACAGACAGTGACATATTGTATAGATAATGTATATCCTATGTGTAGTGCCTGTGACATCACTAGCCAATCAACCGGATTAAGGTCGTAATTGAAAAATCGAAAAGCGTTTCGGTGTGTTGGATACTTAAACGTTAACAGCGGACTTAATTTTAATCAGATTGGTGTGAACTTGCCGTAAAGTTGATATAGTAACCATGGGCTATACATACATGCAATTTAGATTTTTGATCTTACGTGGTCTTTAACATTTACAAACTGCATGTTGTCAGTCCTTTATATAACTGCTGAAAAAAGGTTTGACAGCACTTTCTTCTCTAGATGCTATTCTCTGTAGATTTCCAGGGTTTTTTTTTCATATGGCTAGCTTTTGGATTTCTTACCATACTAGCAGTCCATTATAAGCATTTTGTAACACAGAGCAAGTAAGATAACATATAAGTTCAAAAGTTTAAATGCAAAAGTGCAATTCTTAACACTTTTTTTTCACAATAATATATGTGGCTAATTTATGGATTACTTACCATACAATTCAGTGTAAGCCTTGCTGTTGTGTTACACAAAGCATATAAAAATAATAAGCACATAAATTCAAAAGTTTAAAGGTGATGTGGAAAGTTTGATCCTTACATGTGCTTAGTTTAATGGGACCCAGACCATACTATGTCAGTTCAGTTTTCAGACATCTGAGCATAACAAGTGTATCCACTGGCCTATGGCCTAGAATAATATGGTTTTACTTAAACATTTCTGATTTTCGGAACCGGTAATAGATTAATAAAAAGTTGGAAAACCAATTCCAGTACATGATGATACATGAAATCCTACATATCTCGATCTATCACACTGATTGAGAGATACAAGGAAGACTCACGCTGGTCATGTTTGACCTCCCTTTCTATCTAGAAAGCCATACATGCATAAGATCGGGTGTAACTAGCATCCATAGCGGGGACAGATCACCTCATACATCATACACCCGCTAAATGACTGGATGACTAGAATCCCTAGGGTGCGACTCATTGAACATGTACATGGAATCTTAACCCCTGGATTTCACACATCATCTGTACTAGTTTTAATGTTAATACCGGAATGTAAATTGTGTAATAGAGTACCATCCATATGCATTCTATATTTAGAAGAGGGTCATTCCATGTTAAGTGGACCAAATTGACAGAAAGTTGTAAAGTGACCCCTTCAGAAAATTTTTCATAATGTTCTGAGGCGGTCACTTTACAAGCACTAGTCCATTTGACATGGAATGACCCAATAGATAGGCATAAAGATTTTAGTTTATTGATTTTTACCATTATTGGAGTCAGTGAAAGCCAACTCATTATCTGACCAGCCATAATTGAGTGTGTGTGTGTGCGTGTGTGTTTCTTTTCTCAAAATGCTGCAGGAACTTCTTTTATTGGAGAATAAGTTCAGCTTGGCAATTACCAAATGTTTAAATCCAGCCAATATTCAGAATTAAGATTAATTTAATTAACAGCACTAACCTTGGCATAGCTTACAATAAACAAGCCTGATTACCTGTAAACTATTAACTGTCAAATGTTTTCTTCTGTTTTATTTAGTCATAAACATCAAGCGCCCTTTCATTCTACAGGTAAGCAGCTAAATGACATCAGCAGGCCAACAGACGCCAATTTCAGACAATGTTAGAAGGGAGATAACTCTGGTTGATCTCTGATTGGTCATGCTTTGTTTTTTGGGGTTTTTTAAATGAATTTCATACTATTACTAACTGTGTCCTTGGTATACAGTACATAGATTAATTTTCATGGAATTTTTTATCAATTCAGTTGTGACCCACTGGGGTCATTATAGGCTTAGCTCTAGAAATAGCCTACCACAGGTTTTTTTTTCTTTGGTTTCATATATTTATTCATATTAGAAGGAATTTCCTAACCACTTTAGAATACCAGGGACAATTACAAGTTTTCCTTGGCACTTTGTGAAAAGCAGGGATACTAATAATAGCATTTATTTACCTCTTGGAAAGCAGGCAAATAAATGGATCTAGGCCTTCTTGTATTTTTTAGATAACTTTATCTAGGCCTGAATATAAAATCTGAAAATTTTTCTTCAAACCATGTGCATCTTCCTATAATAAGTGCAGGAGGACCGTACAAAACAAAACAGACAAGACAAACTACCATAGACACTACAAGAAGTAATCAACAAAAATTAAATCTAGAGAATGGATCTGGGGGCAAGCCGCAATGTGGATATTATTTTTATACGCCTATTTAGGCTATTTATCATGTGAACGTATATTGTCGTCCATCTACAATTTGTTTATTGACAATTTTTATCTAATTTTGACGGAAATTGAAATACAGGTTCCTTTCGATATTGGCATTTATCAGACCATAACTTCATAGATTATTGCCCCTGATTGTATGGAAAATCATGTTTTTAGCTTGTGGACACGTTAGATGTCACAATTTTTATTCGATTTTGATGAAACTTAAAATATATGTTTATATCCCAAAGATCTCTGTTCCTTTTGATATTCGTACATATCAAACCATTAGGTCCTGGATTATGAACCCTGATTGTACGAAAAATCATGTGTTTAGCTTGTCAACCTGTTGAAACTGTCCCACAAACTGGTCGCTCCCTGTACACAAATAATGTAAAAGTATGTACTACCAATGTTGTGGACCCACTAGAGGTTACAATTTTTAACCAATTTTGGTGAAACTTGAATTACATGTTTAAATCCCAAAGATCTTGGTTCCGTTCCTTACTTGCGTGTATCAGACCCTAACTTCCTGGGTTATGACCCTTGATTATTTGAAAAAAAAACTTTTTTTTTTTAGCCTGTTCTGTCCATCTCTTGCAAAATGTAGGCATATCTTGCTTGTTAAAAAACAGCTTAACTTGACCAATGTTTTTTCTTTTAGATTCGTCCAAACCAGTTAGGCTGTCATTGCACCTAATAGTGAAGAGAAATCTACCCCCAGAAGCAGAAAAGTGGTCTCAGGAAGAAATGTAAGCTTGAACTTGGGGGATAGTGATCTAGAGCAGTGAAAAAAATAAAATGTGATAATATAATTGAATTGTTTAATTTCAGTCTTTTCTGAACTCAAAACGGAATAAATGTAAACCAACATCAAACAACATTTGCATAAAGATTTTAGACACTTTGTTGTTCATTTCAATAAAAAAAACCAAATTTTACCAATTTGTCCCTAAAACACATACCTACCTTTCAGTTGAGACTTGATTGAAATAGAATTTATACTCTATTTTCAAATACACTAAAGATCTGGGAAAAATTGTTTTTGCTTTTCAGGTGTTCATGGGAAATTATATTGGTGTCTGGGATTTCCAAAGCCAAAAAAAAAATTAAAACAATTCTTAATTGTAGATTTAAGAATATTTTCTTGGGTTTAAAAATGAAAAGCCCAACAAAAATAATCTGTACTTACAATGTACATTAGTTGTCACCATATGTTTGGTGCAAAATAGCCTGGTTGGAGCCATGTCATTTATTCATTAGTTAAGTACATAAATGGTTTTGAATAAATATGTTTTAACGATGTTAAACAACGATGATCCCTATTATCCAACACCATTGAGCATAATATTATACACTAGAATAATCTGTTAAATATCTTCTATCTGCAGTGTCAATGCATTGAATGAAATTACACATCTACGATTAGACAGAGAAAATATATATGAAATAGACAGTTTGGAACTACTGGGTGATAAAGTTAAAAATGTTTATCTTCAACAGGTAGGCTAGTACTAGCTAAATGAGATTTTTTTCTAATATCATTCTGTCTATGAATTTTTATACACCCACATTGAAATTATTGTTATCTTGCTGTGCTCTTTGGCACAAGGGTCTAATGTGCCATAATAGAATGACTTGAAATTTATATACAGTGTTTAGGTTCATGACAATGGAAAGAATCCTTTATTGATTTTCACTTGGAAAAATCTTGTGGACACGCTAAAAGCACCACCCAATTGACTTGAAATTCATACACAGTGTCAATGTTTATAAAGAATTACGATAATTACTGTCAGAGTTATTGCCCTTGATCATTTAAAACAAGTTTTTAGGCTGTTCTACTGGAGGCTTAAGTTGTAATCTGCTTGACTTGACATGGACATGAGACGAAGAAACCTATTGAATTTTAAATATTTAAAATATTTTAGCTCTGGCCTCTCAAATGTGTGTTAACGGTAGCCAAAAGATTTTTTTTCATTTCACATTTCAGAATAGTATACAGAAAATCCAGAATTTAGAATGTCTCAAGTATATAAAGTTTTTATCACTGGCAGGAAATTGTATTGAAGTTGTTGAGAATCTCCTTGGTTTAAATCATTTACGTGTTCTAGATCTTTCTGATAACCAGATACAAATATTACATATAGGTGAGACTTTTCTTAATACAGCTAATCTGTTCTTAATGTACAAAATATTACTTATTTCCAAGTCTATGGCATTGTCTTAATACAGTTAATCTGTTCTGAATGTGTGAAATATTAATGGCATAAATAATGGCATTATTTAAAGTGGATATGACTTTAGTTTGATGAACAGACAAGCATTGGGATATTAGGCAGAAATGGCTTAAAGGGATGCGTGTTCACTAAGTTTTCAGACCAAAAAAGCCATTTTCAGACAATCAGAATGGAGGATTCAAGGACGATATTTAGAGCCTCCCCAATATAGATAATAGATTTAGACTATGGTTATGAATCCTGTCTTTTTAGTACTTGACATTTTATTTTACAGAGGAACTTCCAAATTCATTGATTATTTTAAATTTAGAGAATAATCCATGTACAGAGAAAACAGGTTATAGTCAGTACAGGTATGATAATAGAGCATTTATATTGTAAATTCAAAAAATAATCCTATAGGATGTATTGACAACAATATGGGATTTTATAATTAATAATCATTGTACTAGGATTAAAATAAAAGATTTAAAGATATATTGTGATCCTAAATACCTAACCATATCCGAACTACCATGATAACTATATTTATTACCAAAAACCAATCTTTCAAGATACTTCAAGGTATGGGTTTTTTTGTTGATAATCTGAATTTTAAAGTGCTAATCCGGTTATTTTTTTGGAGAAAAAAACTGCTTCATTTTGTGTTAAAATCCCTTAAAATCCTCTAGCTAAGGCAAGCAACTAACTCAATATTTGTGATAAGTTTTCAAACAATGTAAACCCGTCTGGAAATGGAGACCGGTGTCCCAAGCTGTATTATGCGGTGTCTGGATAAAACCAAACTTTATTTTATAAAAATAATGTGTAGGTGAAATTTACCTTTCGATATCAAGTACAGCACATATAGACCTCTCAAGGAACGGAATTCGATTATCAGGTCACCCAGCGAAAAAACTGACCTGAAATCTTAAAAGGGTTATGTGTCCGGATAAGCAGTTTTGACGTTCACAACCAAACGACTCAATATTTTGAGCTAGAATTTTGAGACAAGGTAAATACATCATTCCTCTATATTTTTGCCGCTTAAATTTCATACGTACTCCAACTTTTATTTTTCAGACTCTTTTGAAATCGGGATAGTCCCTTTAAAGTTAAACTTTATTATCTACTTAATTTGCAACACAACATGTGGACAAGCACTGGCATTAGCTGCTAACCTAATGTGCGAGTAATGCCTGCCCTGGCGTTGGGTCGGTGGTTGATACTTTAAAATTGATTTATCGCTGGCTTGACAATTTGATTGTTCCTGGTCATTAAATTTGACATACATATAGAAAAAAAAAACTGACGTTAGATGTGACATTAATGTAAGAAATTCTTTGAAAAAAAACCCTCACATCTGTATATCACATGTTTTAAAATTGATTTATTGCGGGATTGCTAGCTTTACAATTTGATTGTTCCTGGTCATTAAATTTGACATACTTAAAGATACATTATGGGAGATTTTAATAGAGAGTTGGCCATTCTTGCTATAACAGTTCAAAAATAGATGATGGAAGAAGAATATATTGAAAATTTCAGTCAAATTACTTTATTCTGAACAAAATTATCACCATTGTAATTTTTGACTAGAAATAGGAGTCAACTCTCCCGTCACCGTCTCCGAGAAGGCTGATCATTTGATTGACAGGCGTTAACTCCACCTACACAATCTCAATTATCAAGTAACGTTTTCAATGGCTGTGGTACCGTTAGCCTATTGGGTTTGAGACAGGGTTGCAATTCAATTCGTATCACATTTATTTTTACTACAAATTAAAAATAAGACTTTTAATATATAGATAAGAAGCGAAAGTTTGAAAGGAATGGACCAAATCAATGAGGCATAATTATAGCCGACTTCTTGTTAGCCTGCGTGTACTCTTGTACTGTAACTGGTAGGCCTACGTTAGCACGTAACTCCCGAAGCATACAAATAGGAAACAGTGATCCAATGGGGCTGCCATTCAACTGGGGTGATGTTAGCTGCGATGTTTATCAATTTCCATAATTTTTCTGTAAACGCAAGTGACAAAAGAGCGTATAATACCGACATCCAAACTCTCATTTTAACCACAACTAAACATAATATCAAGGCCGTATATATCAAACTTTCAATCAAATTGACTGACATGCAGCCTTGCTTCGTACACTCTATCATTTAGCCTCGATCTAAAATTTCCGGGAGTATGACATCAATGTAACGGTTAATCTCCGCTTACGACACCATTTAAAAATTTAATCAATCAATGAAATCCTGTTTAAATCCAAGCCGAATCCAAGCCATCCGTGGGTCTACAGAGTTGATTTTGTGCTTGTTGTGTAAATAAAGATTTAATGTATAATTTCTAAGACATCTGAAGCCTAAATAAAGACTTGCAATAATCAGATTTAGTTCTTGCATAATGTATGTTTAAAGAAAAAAAAATGATTTTAGATGGTTGAATATGTGACATTAATGTAAAAAATTCTTTGAAAAAAAACCTCACATTTGTAAATCAAATGCTTATGAAGTCAGGAGTTCTCAATAGAATTCTTTCAAACTGGAAGAACCCTTTCAAAACGTAAATTTCAAACACAATTTGCGTAATTATCTTTCTGTTCACATTTTGAATGTTTAAGTGTGGCACGTAATTCATCGTGGATTTAAAAAAAACCAAAACAACCCATCCCATTCAGAATTGATTGTCTATGATGTTAGAGCTAGTAGATATGACACTACTGCTGACATGCCCCCTCTATTTTTTCAGAGAAAAAGTAATCCAACATTTACCAGAGTTATTGCAGTTAGATGGTGAAGATGTCAGACGACCTGAAGATGATGAAGATGAAGAAACAATAGAAAGTGACGATGAAAAACCTGCATCTTTTATATCCTTACAAAGTGATGATTCAGGTTGATTTCATTATTGCATTAACTTTTACATCCTTAACAGTATTCCTTGTGATAAGCATATTAAATTATTTCCATTTTAACTTAACCAAGTCCCTGAATCTACATCATTCTGTTTTATTATCTCGCTCCGAACCAAGTTAGGGAGGGATATTGAAATGGGGTCCGTCCGTCCGTCACGATTTCTTTTCCCGAATATATCTCATAAACTGTTTAAAATATCTTTCTGAAACTTTGTACACACATCAACCCATGCCTGTAAACCTAACCAAGTCCCTGAATCTACATCATTCTGTTATATTATCCCGCTCTGAACCAAGTTAGGGAGGGATATTGAAATGGGGTCTGTCCGTCCGTGTGTCAGTCCTTCCGTCCCGATTTCTTTTCAGGAACATATCTCATAAACTGTTTAAGATATCTTTCTGAAACTTTGTACACACATCAACCCATTACAGTAGTTGTGCCTTTTGCTATCTAGGAATTTCTGGTATTTATATTTTTTTTATGTTTCCATGGAAACAAATTTGCCTTAGTTTTTGGTGTACAATTTTGTTTCTAGAGCATAACTCATAAACCATTCAAGATATCTTCATGATACTTTGTACAAATATTAACCTAATATGGTAGTTGTGCCTTTTGCTAATTTGGAATTTCTGGGATTTAATAATTTTGGTGTTTCCGTGGAAACAAATTTGACTTAAATTTTATCTACAAACCCTTCAAAACATCTTTTTCAAACATTGGACACACATCATCCTATTACAGTAGTTGTGCCTTTTGCTAATTAGAAATTTGTCAGATTTAATCATTTTTGTGTTTCCATAGAAACAAAATTCTCTGTTGAATGATTTTTAAATTTTTACTACACCTTTGAATTAGTTTTTGATATATAATAATTATTCTAGAGCATATCTCAGAAACTATTCAAGATACCTTTATAACACTTTTACATTCATCAACCTATTATTTTATTTTCTGATGACCGTCCTTCCGTCCTGATTTCATTTCCGGAGCATATTTCATTATCTGTTCAAGTAATCTTTTTGAAACTTTGTACAAATATCAAACTATTATAGTATTTTATTTTCTGATGTATAAGCTTAATGTTTAACATACAGCAGCTGATTGAGGTAGGCAAAGGTTGTAGTGCAAACCTTACAGGGAGTAGCGACCATGCCTTGCCGAGCTACTGTGATCAGAGTATGAATCTTCTGACTTGTCCCATTGATATTCCAAGAAGTTGTTTTTCCTTATGCCTTCCAAACAAGTGCAAGGGCGCGGGATGGTGATGACTAGTCATCTTGTTTTAGCTTGTTTTACTTCCACAAGTTAGTATTCCAACCAGACTCTCACTTTGGATTCTAACCTTCCATGGCAATCCTGAAGTTGATTTCTACTGATTTTGAAGTGATTGTTGATAAACGTACCATACTCTTACACACTAGTTTTACATAAAATGGTTGGTACCCATTTGGAGCATTTTCGCATAATTTTCAAAAATAGCCTCAACTAAAGTGCCATGGTTTCTTAATATTATCCGTTATTGACTTTTATTTATTTTATTTTATTTTGGTCTAGATGATATACCGTCCCTTACTTCAGCCATGTTGATGAGATCACAAGATAGACTGGAATCTTGTCAAAGACGACACAAAAGACATACAGCAGAGTTAGAAGAATTTCGCTTAAAACATAAAATTATAATTAAAAAATAGAATTTTATTCTAAAAGTTGAATTTTAAAATATTTATTACATTTTAACCTGTTATTGAATATTTTTATTGTAATAAAAGATTTTTAAAGCTATAGAAAATCAATCTGATTCAATTTCGTTCATATGTTATAATGTGTCATGAAATGGCTGATGGGTATTGTTGGAATTTGGAATTGATTTATAATGACCATTGATCGGGAGAATTTAGTTTGGACTTGGAGTTTAGAACACAGACTAGCATTCACTTTTTAACTTCCTAATTTTAATATCTTTGGGATAATTAGTGTTTAGATCACTATTTAAAACGATGTTCATATTCCGCAAGGCTAAGTTTAAATACTTAGTCACTCAAGTTCTCTTTTGCGGGGGCCACTGACTAAAGAGTATTTTTAAAAAAAACTCAAATGTTGACCAAATTTAATATGGATCCTTTATATTTATGTCTTCAAGAAATCTTATCGCTATTGTGTTCACAAGCTGTTCCGGACACGTGATATATTTCTGGAACAGAAAGTCATGGAATGCTGAAATTCAATAGGGTTTAACCTCTCCAATGCCAAGGAGCAGATAACCCTAGGTTAAAGAATACTGAATATCAATAGGATTCATTCACTGTAAAAAGTTTCACCTCTGGCAGCATTTCTTCTCAGAGTAGTTTGATGAGCGCAAGTAATCTAGAAGGCTGTTATTTTAATTGCAGTCACTGTTAATGCTCTCGTACAGTCACCCCACCCTCATAACTAAAACCATCAAATTCTTTATTGAAGAGCGCATTAATTCAACATACTGGTATTTCAATTCGGGAGAAAATTACTACCAACAGTTTGTTGTAATCAACAAAGTTGATGACCCTGCAGCCTTTCTACAACAGCCAGCATCCAAGAATCCAATTTACAATGGGAAAAGAAGAGCACAGCCTTCCCTTTCTGGATATACACAATACTAATGACGGTTGTAATCTAAAGACATCTGTGTTCTGAAAACCGACACACACCAATCAATACATTCATTTTAAATCAAACCAGCGTATCCACTCTCACTAGAAGCGAAATTAATATGTCACCAAGAAAATTTACCAGCTGAAATCCAACATCTCAAAACAGTTTCCAGCACTCTGAACAACTTATTACTAACGTTATTAATAAAACCCTACATGTTGAGAGTAAACCAACTAAACCAAAACCAGATCAACCACCAGTAAGAGTTTTTATCCCATTTAATGGTAACCCGACATCAAATCCAACATTTATTGAAACAACAAGCAGGGATAAAGACCATATTTAGCGAAAATGTAACGATTAAAGATCACCTGAAAGCGAATGGCAAGCTGAATCCTACCTTCCCTGTCCAACAAAAAATTTGTATTTACAAAATAGATTGTGTGGAGAAACTTGTGTTGGTAAAATTAGGAATTTAAGATTGGTTGAACACAAATCTAAAGCTGCCTCAAAAAAAGTCTTATATTTAGCTACATATTATACAAAATTTAATTATTGCATACTATGAATTCCAAATATTTGAGATGTTTTTTCACCATTCATTTTAAGTTCTTTGATGTCCAGTTACATGTCTAATGGCTTCACCTAGTAGGTTTCACCTATCATCTGTCTTCATTAATCCTTTATCCCTAGTAGTAATATATTATGTGTTATCACAATTAAACCTTACTATACTCACTCTGTGTGACCAATTAAGCTAGGGTTAAATGATTGTTAATTTATGGTTTCTGTTATTATGAATGAACCTATATATATAATGCTTTCGCATTTTTCCTCATTGTCTGCGATATCACTTCGGTGGAAGCGGACGTTAAATAAAGCTATTTATACATTTTTCCTCATTTGTAAATTTGTATGCTTGATAACGACCATTGAAATTTTGTCAAAACGTCATGCGTATATAAAATAGTGATTGTTATCCATAGAACGTGTTGTGTTATGATTAATATTGTGTGCTCGAAAAATGTGTCGAAATATCAATTGAAACATATAAAATTTAGCACATGTTTGGATGAAGATTTTTTTATTAAGAATAGTTTTTAAATAAACAATAACAAACAATATTAAAATTAATATATTCTAATAAAATTCAATGAACATTCAATGCAGATATAATATAATCATATGTCAATGTATAATGTGAAAATTTATATAAAATTTACAACTTGAATTAAATATAAAGACTCAAAGACCGTTTATATGGAATAAAATCACTGTTTTAAAGGACTATCAAAAAAAACCTGATATACATGTATTGCAATACAAGTCTTCCACAATAGATATCACAATATAAAATATGGCATATTCAGTCCTTCACATTTAAGGTGTGCGTTTGCTCCTGCTTCTCTCGATGCACCTTGATTTTCCTTTGCGGGAAGCAAATTACCTAAATCGCTTTCCTAAATATTGAGATTAATAAACTACTTTCAGTTTTTGTTTATTTTTAAACTGCATACATTCGAGCTATCAGTTTCCATGTTGATAATTCTGACGCTACCATATTCACCAAATATTAAACAAGATTAAAGCATAAATACAATTTGGCTCTCTTTAATTCAAGAAAATGTAGAATTACCTTTTCTGATTTTTGAAATTGGCAGGAGCTTTTCATGGCTCCTGCACAATTTTATAAATGTGAAGGACTGCATATTGATATTTGTATCAAAACACTTTTTATAATTTAATTCATAGTTCAAGTAAACAATAACACAACTAGAGTCTGTGTAAATTTTCACTGACTAAAGAGTACTTAAAGGGACATTAGGTAAGATTAGACAAAGAGCTGACAGTTCTCGCTATAATAGTTAAACAAATAGATAATGAAAACAAAATATGCTGAAAATTTCAGTCAAATTGCTTCACTCACAACCAAGATATTAGCTATTAAACTTTAGACTAGTTTTGGTCGTCATTACTGACGTTGGTATGTTAACAAAGTCTCGATTATCCACTTTAACGTTAAATTATCCATCACAAAATGTATTCAATTAATAATTAAAATCTAGTAAATATCACAGGCTAACGATGGCATCAAGAGTTGATTATGGTCTGGATAAGTTCATTAATGTCCAATTAATAATTTAGATCAAATTTCAGGCCTAAAGAAAGACCTGCAATAGGCAGATTTAGCGCTCTAAGATATGTTTGAAGATATTTGTTTGTTTACTGGAAAATTGGAGAAAGCTGAAAATCGATAGGGGTCATCTTCTCAATGTACTAATGCTTCCTAAAACGTTTGAAAAAAAAATCCTTCAAAAACTCGAGCTGAAAATCGATAGGGATCATCGTGTCATTGTTCTGATGCTTCATACCAATCCTTCAAAATTGCGTTAACAATAGTCGGAATGGGAGGGGCAATAAGTCTGGAATGAAAAGTTATAGAACACTGAAAATCAAAAGGAACCATCCTCTCAAGGTCTTTAATCATCACATAAAATTTAACGCAACAACTATATATGCCCAAACTACTAAAAAGGTGAGATATCCATGTTTGCTATTAATGTGATAGGTTATTTATTTGTATAAAAAGTATCAGCAGTAGACATACCCATGTTTCCATTTGATTCAGTACCTGATTTGGAACAGTACCTTACTTTTTTTAGTTTAAAAAATATGTGACCATATGTGACATTCGATAGGGCCTAAATATATAATTCACGAACAACAGTACACTATAAATAACAAGGAGAAAGATAAAAGTTTATAAAAAAAAAAGGGTTTTGACGTAAGTCACTTTCCTTAAGCAATGGCTTGAACCATCATCAGGTCATTAATCATTGCTACATTTAGACAGCAATTACAGGCAATTGTTTTCATTGGTTTAATTAACTAAGTGTGTTTTCTGATTAATTAATCTTTTGATGTTTTTACATCTTATATCTTTTTAACATCCCACAAATGGGTATTCTTTTCAATCCATTTGCAGTAGCAAAGAAATTGACAGTTGATATGGTCCCGAATCCTAGCGAAAGTCTGTTTTTTTGGGGGTTTTTTATGTTCATCCAGCCTCTGATTTGACATAGAAAGCAGAGGTATGGCAAATAACTAATCACAAACAGCATTGTAGCAATGGTTAAAAGACCTGATAATACTTGCAACCATTGAGTAAAGAACATCTAATACAAATTCACATTTGAAAACATTTTATCACAAAAAAAGGAATTTTCTAAAAATAATATGCTGCTATTTCCATAAAACAAAACAAAAAAATGTTACTAAAAACTGCATTAATGTTGTTTTCGTCAATCCAATTTCCAGTCAATGGGGGTTAAGTTGTATTTAGACAAAGCATCATTGGTTTTAGAGAAACACTTGCAACCCAAAAAATACTTTACACTTAAGGGAGATGGGTGTCCAGTTTTAATGGTGGTATGTTTTTTAGCATCAATGAGTTTGCCTTTTTTCTGGGCAAAATTACCCCATAAAATAAATACAACATTTTTACAATTTTCATTAATAACTTGAATAATTTTATCAGTAAATTTCTGCCATCCATAATCTTTATGGGAATTTGGAGTATGTGCTCTGAAAAAAAAAATGGAAGTGAAAAAACACAGGTTTTTAAAGATACCTTCCAGCGTACAAACTGTGTGATTTGATGATATTTTTGGACAAAAAACATATGAAACTAATTAATCTATCAAAATTTTGCTTCAAATCCTTCTCAAAACGTATTCGCGAAGGATCATGTTTGTGTCACATGACTTGGCTGTCGTGGTACCTAGCAACACGTGCGAAGCCGGAGGAGAATTCATTGCATATAGAAGACAATGTTCTCTTTAACTGCTGTCCATTTATCATAAATATCGAAGCTTAAAGATACATTATGGGAGATTCGATAACAAGTTGGCAGTTTTCACTATAATAATTAAAAACTTGGTAATGTAAAGGCAATTTGCTCAAAATTTCATTCGAATTGATCCACTATGAACCGAGAACTAAGCGAATGAAATTTCTGCCTAGCCTCGGTCATCATTACTAAAGTCAGTACGATAAACAGCATAGTCTCGATTATCCATTTAATCGTTTAATCGAGAAGGAAAGTTATGCAGTAAATCGGCTCACAATCTACTTAAGATCGCAGGCTAGCGATGCCATCTAGAGTTGATTATGGTCTGGATAAGTTAATTCATGTCTAATTAATAATTTAGATAACATTTCAGGCCTAAAGAAAGACCTGCAATGGACAGATTTAGCTCTTGCATAATGTATGTTTAATTAATTTCTCGGATTATCCACTACCCATGGCTTTATCTCAGAAACTGTTATACGCTTAGCTCAACTTCAAGCTTATCAACATATACATCAAGCGCTCACTAACGCTGAGAGATCAGACAATCTTCGCATGCAACCTTTGACGTCACTTGAGCAGACATCCCTAATCGCTTGGTTTCCGGTTATGGAAACCCTTACATTTTTGTCCTGTATGCGCTCCATGAGTGTTTTTCATGGAATCAGGTATTTTTCTAGTCAGATTGCATGTTTCTACTTTCCATATAAAACTGCCATACTTTTAATGAAAACAACCACCTGATAAATACATTTGTGTGAAAGTATCTTTAATATAAAGATCTATTTTAAAAATATGTTTCCAAACCCGTAAAACTACTAGAAAACATTGAGTACAATGTATAAAGGTCGAAAGTTCCACAAGTGATAAACTTTTGACTATTCTCAATGAATTTCCCACTTGTCGGAGTTTAAACTTTTTAGTCGACAAGGCATATAGTTCTTTAGATGGTATAAAAAAATCCTGTGTCAGTTGAAAATGGACCAAGAAAACACCCCTTTTTGCTGTACCCCCAAAAGAAATATTTAATACTAACTGTACAGAAAGTGTGGCATTTAATAGTAGAACACCTCTATCTGCCCATTGTGTTAAATCACCATGACTTGGACTTTTAAAACCAGGAATGTCAGTCTCAAGTTCTTTGTACATGTTCTTAAGTGATGGAGGTACAGCAATTCCTTTTGGTACTGAGAAGCACAAACCCATAGCCTGAAATAACAATAGCATAGAATTCAAAATAATATATGATCATACATGCACTATGTATCTCTTGCTTCTACTGTATGTGTTTTATCTGACATATGATTCATGCCTCATGGAATGAATTTACATAACCATTTTGGAGCATAGCTGCCACTCATTTGTTAACTTTGGTGAATAAATATAGCTTTTTTGGAAAATCTGCGCTTCGCTTGAAATGAAAAAAAAGTTTTATTTGAAATTTCAAACAGATCCTTTCCATGCATGGTCATTGCCATATTACACAAAAATGGTTGCCAGCTTGAGTCATTGGATTACGTGAAAACTGTTATTTTTTGTATTATGCATTCGTTTTCTAAAATCTACTTCAACAAAAGAATGGTTGCCAGCTCGGGTCATTACATTAAGTGAAAACTGGTATTTTATGCATTCATTTTCTAAAATCTACTTTAACAAAATTTTTATCAACAAAAATGTTTACCTGTCCATCATCATGATAAGGATCTTGTCCAATTATAACCACTTTAACCTACAATTAACATACGGTAATATCAAGGTTCAAAACATCAAATCCTTCATAATCAATATGTACCCGTAACAATTTATAACCAAACATACCACAATAAAGATTAAATAAACAATTCTAAGACCACACACAATAAAAAGTATCATATTCTAACTTAAGGCCATTCTTCATTACAATAACAATTCTTTATTTATAAATGTTGAGATGTAAGCTTTATGAATAATTTTCACCTGTTTCAATGGAGTCAAATTCAAGGCATTAAATAACTGTGTTTGTGGAGGGAATATTTGTTTAGTTTTGTAAGCTTCTGCTAATTTCTTCTCAAGTTCTTTCATATAAGGTAATTCCAGTTCAGTTTCTAATGCCGTCTTCCATCCACTGTCGTTGATCAGACTTGATAACGAAAGTACACTTGCTGTACTGTCGGTATGTTTCGAAGCAACTGTTTAAGAAAAAAGTGCATTTTACAAAGATTTTATTCACGGTACCTGTACCATAATAATAATATTATTAAAGATACATTATGTAAGATTTAGATAAAGAACTAGCCATTCTTGCTATAATAGTTCGAAAGTAGATGATGTAAAATGAATAATTTGAAAATTACTCTATTGCAAGCGAAGATATTAGCCTTTGAAGGTTTGACAGACGTGTGCAATAATTTCAACCACCGTACTGGTTGATCGAAGCTAAGTCTCGGTCCTCCATATTTAATTAAATCAAAGTATCGCTGAACCATTCTAATCTATTTAATATCAGAGAAATCTGATGCCATCGAGAGTTGATTAAGGCCTGGATCAGTCAATTAATGTCTAATTAATACCTTAGAAAACATTTCAGGCCTAAAGAAAGACCTGCAATAGGCAGAATTAGCTCTTGCATAATGCATGTTTAAAGGAATTAAATCTCGATTCTTTGGAAGCAAAAATGGGTCAAAAGGCATTAATGTAATATGAGTTGGGTACCAGTATATAAACTGTTTTACATTCAATTTTTAAAATCTTAATCATAATATCTAATCAATTTTGTTCATCAAAGTAAGTGAGCTGCCCAAATTGAATGGCTGTTGCTCGCAACTGGTTAATCCAGTTTCATGTGAAGTACAGTTTGACATTTCACTTATTTAATGACCTCATTACAAACTGCAATTGTTAGAATAGAGTAGGCCTATACTTGCCGGAGTGTGCTGGTTTTTAAAAAAAATTCACTGTGTATCTTAAATAGTGCATATCAGAAATCCATTTCTTCACAATGAGTTAACAGCATCACCATTAATTAGAATGTTGAGAGAGAGAGAAATGGGGTTAAGCGTCCACTCACACAAACTAGGTCGTTTTGGGACAAACATATGGATGGTTCAACTTTATTTCAATAATTTGCTTGCGCGTAGGGGTCTTTAGCAGTGAGAGGCAACCGGAGGACCCAGAGAAAACCTACAAAGTTGGACAGTCGACCCTACTGCTTGTCACATACAACCAGGGAATCAAAACCACACCAGTTAACTCAATGACAGACCTTATGATACAGCGCACAGATGCCAACCATTCGACCATCCAACACCCCTGATTGGAATGGACTTATAGTTGGTGTTCGTAATGTTAAAGAGGCCTGGTGCAAATTTAAAGGAGGATGACCCCCCCCCCCCATGAGACCAAGAAAGCAACTCCTAACTAAGGTTCACAAAAAAACACCAATAACCATGGACCTTAATATTTGTTTAATATTATAAGGCCAATACAATAACAATCATAATATTATTATGAGCATTATGTTAACTTGAATTTTAAACTGTTTTTCGTCAAAGAACTTTATAGGCAATACAATCTATGTTCTACCGTGGCACTTAGTGTTAACTGTTATCTTATGAATTTCATTACGTATTTTGTTGACATTCATTGTGGGGTGGGATTGTGGATGGCACCCTAGATTTCGCACCACACCCTCAATTCACAGCTTTTAGATCGCTACTAAAAGCGGCTATACACTTTTTAAAGATGCTACCATCGGCCAGGCTAAATAGCCAGGCCTGGAAATACAAATGAAATAGTACCTGACATTTTCAACTTAGTGCTGGCCACTGCTGGGCATGTGTATTAAGCAAATACACCAAACTTCGCCATTGTTCGGCTGAACAAAATGTTCTGCGCATGTCCATCCAGTGAAGCGATTAATATGACCTTGACCTTTTCTTGTCTCCTTATATGTATAACAAAACATTTTGCGCATGTCCGTTGGTGGAAACTCACGTTTGATCCTTTCTAGCGGGAATTTTAAATTCTGATGCTTGAAATATTTCTTAGTGCTTGAAAAGTTAAATTTATTATATTATAATGGTTTTCCGTGAGCTTATTTCGTACCAGGCTGGGAGTGAAGGTATTGTACCACAAACTGTTTTATTAACACCCTTGTCTAGATTCAATTTGACCATTAAAAGGCCTATTTAGGAATAGGATTAGGATCTAGGCCTTAAGGCTTAAGACTTAAGTGAAAGTCCTTAAGAAAACGTTGGCCTAACACTACACACAGTGTAAGTGTTAGTGTCGCCTTTGTTTATCTACTTCAGGCCTATGCCTACCTACCCCACTGGCCACTCACTCTGTGTTAGATTTGTTTAATAAAGGCGATATAATAATAATTATTATATATTTAATATTTATACTTATTACTTTTTCCCAGAGAACTTTCCCGAATCTTTCTAGAAATCTAAGTTCTAACAACACCAAAGCAAAGCGCATACATACATAGGCCTACATTACAACAAATAAATAGGCCTATTAAATAGATGTTCAAGGCGAAAGGGCGAAAATAATCCTGTAAACAAGCAATCAAATAAAGAAAAATCAGTGCCCGTCAAATTAAATGACGGCCACCAGAGGTTTAGTGCCTGACAAAGCCTGAATCTGTGCCTGACATTGTCTGTGACAGGTTCTTTATTTCCAGGCTTGTAAACAGTCACTAGAGTTTCCGTTTCGTGAACTAATTATATTCTATGTCAAACCGTTGCATGCTGTCATTGTTGATGCTGCTGAATATGTTGATTTTACAGGTTTGTCTTTCGATTTCGTCCTTTTCTTTTTCGCAGCCTCTGTTTCCTGTTTCTTGACAGATTTAACTGTCTGGCTTGTAGCCTTGCGTTTAGGTGGCATATTTCGTTAACTTATGGCAAGTAGAAGATTATAACGAATAAAATAATGTGCTAAAAAAATATAAGATCAAGGAATGATTATATTATGTTATTATTATCATTAACAACAGAAATGCCCAGCAGCACTTCCGTAAACATATATATATATATATAATATAACGTTTCGAGAGAAAATAGTTCCATAAAGGTTATGGATTTCCTTGTGTTATACATTTTGTAAGGAGCGAGTATTAACTATTGAGCAGTTATAAAGCGTAAATCTTCAAGACAATTTTCATTTACTTGTCAGTCATTCCCGGAATAATTAATTCAATAGTGCGTTCTGCTACTTGTTCGCCAGTTTAGATGGTAGAAGGGAGGGAACTCTTCCAGGTTAAGATGGATTCAGACTAGTAATCCTCTACCCCATTGATTTCATGGCGAAGTCCATGCCATTCCTGGCTTTATCTTCTTTTTTTTTCTTTTTTTTTTTGGTGCTTTCTGATGATCTTAATCTTTATAACATAACCACAGAGAGCTCAGTATGTCACAATCATCTGACAGAAATATTGAAGGCTGTTGACCATATCGGTTTTGTGCTACGGCCGGTCAAAGGAATCTACCAGGCTCTGACATCATTTTTACGTATTTTCCCTGATCTGTCTACTCCCTAGTCATTCCGAGTCAGAATCATGACAACTCGCCAAAGCCTAGCAGAAAATTGCCCATTTTCCATCCGCATTTAATCTGAATTCATGCGCCGACCACATGCCTTGTGACTGGTGAAAATGAAATAAGATTTTAAATAAAATACACCTTGTTTAATGCCTGTTTGATACACATCTTGTAACTTTTAATTCCAGTCCTACAGTTAATTAAGTCCGTTAATGGAATCCCATTTATCAAAAAAGGTTGGCCTATATGGCAGAGTCAGATTAGTACCATATTATTATACAACCAGCCCACATTTTGCAAGAGATGGATGGAACACAAGCTAAAAACAAAAAAACATTTTTCGTAAATTCAGGAGCCATAATCCAGAAAGTTATGGTCTGAAATGCGCAAATATCGACAGGGACTGGGAACTTAGGGATATAAAGATATATTTTAAGTTTCGTCAAAATCGGATAAAAACTGTGACCTCAAGAGGGCACATAACCTTTGTATTACATACTTTTACATAAAGAGCGGCCATTACGTCGGACAGTTCGTTTCGATTTTCCGCTTCATTATGGTGGAATAGTGATATATTTAGACGGTTTTAACATAGGATAAAAAAAATTGTGACCTCTAGAGAATCCACAAACCATATTTTTTACATTATTTACGTACGAGGGGCGGCCATTTTGTCCGTCAGTTTTGGTCCGATTTTCATGAAATTCGAACTCAACCATCATCAAGGTGTAACGGTGATATATTCACACGGTTTATGAAATCAGATAAAAATTGTAACCTCTAGAGGGATCACAAGCTAAAAACGCGATTTTTCGAACAATCAAGGGCCATCATTCAGGAAGTTACGCTCCGATATGCGCGAATATCGAAAGGAACCATAATTTCGTCAAAAATTGTGGCCTGTAGAGTGTCCACAAACAAATTGTGGACGACGGACAGGGGGGGGGGGGGGCGACAATATACGTCCACTTGAAAATGTGGGCGTGTAAAAATTTATTGTGTGGGAACTGTGATAGGTTTTAATATTCCTAGAAACGCCATTATACAACTTATTTAGATAGCACACACCGGTCTGATTTGATTTGTTTGGGAGGTTTCACCATACCACAGGTCTAGAGATTAATTGTATGTGGTCTTGGAAAGAAAATACCTCTTATGATTCCAGCGGTGGCGAGGTCATGCTTTTCCAGCACCGAATGGTTGGGGCGAGCGTTTATGGTCTGAGGGGCGTCCCCAAGAAAACACTGAAAAATCCAGGTAAAATGTGTTATTTTGAGTATGCCCTGGATAAGGAAAACAATCGTTATAAGTAATTTATTTAGGACATAGCGAATATTCGATATAAGCAGGTGCAGAAAAGAAGGATGTTAAACCCCATTTCATTTCGCTATAAGCATACTCCATAGTTGAAGCCTTATTATGCAGCTTTATCGATCAGAAGGGGAAAATTGGCATACTCAGTATAATATATATATATACGGTTATAGTTTGTATTTTATTGATTTTAAAGGAATGTAATATTTTAATAGAACAGGCTATAAATACAACAGGTGTTGACTATAGTAAGTTTGATATAACAAGCAAGCTTTTAACAAATTCTTATAATTTATTCTCCGTTTCTATTGATTCCATTGTTATCCTAATATAGACCACTGTACACTTGCGACCATTTCTTGTTGACTAACAATCGCCTGTAAGCAACACCACCATAGGCCAAAACAATTATCCATCGATATAATGCCAACTTAATAGTTTGGTGGGGTCCCGTGTTCGATTCCGGTATTTTCCGAGGTGGTTCCACCTTGTCAGTGATGCAAGGGATAAAATATAGTTGTTCGGACTGAACGAAAATTCGTGTACGCATTGGCATGCACGTAATAGAACCCTTGGCAATAGGAATTAAGAGTACATATTTAAGCCATGATTAATTTTCGTCGTCTGTCTCAAAATGGACCATGTCTTTCCTAGCCTACCTTATTGAACAACCCTCCCACCCTCACTCACACCCCTATGATTCAAGATATCATTATAACTACTGACATTCCCCCCGCAATTTTTCGCAGAAATACAAGAATTTTGAAATAAGATGAATTATCAAGTATTGCATTCTCAGCGGCACATGTTTGTTGATTTGTATCAGTGTTTCGTTCATGGCACTAATTATCTAGAACCTCGCGATCCACCAGTTATTTGGAAGTATCGAACGAAAATGTATTCCTACATTTTTCATGCAATGGCAGGATGAATTGTGCACTGCAAGGAGCTAATAAACTTTGTATACAATAACCAGATTGTGAAAAAATTGTCGACCATAAAAGCAATAGATATACACTGTCCGTCAATTTTACAGCCCCCACCCCTTCGTTGCTCTGAGCTAGTTACGTCCCTGCTCTGGGGGTCATAGTTATAACCATTTACGGACGCCCTATATCATGCGAAAATGGGTACGGAATAACATCAACGATCTTAATGTTAAAAGTACTGTTCTCCTATTTGAAATAAAAGATAGCAAATTACTCCATAAAGGGAAAGCTATGATAACATAGGAACCTCACTGCATCACACCGAAAACAAACTATTTTATTTAATAGAAACTCAATACAACATAAACCAACACCAACAACAATAATTCAGATATAAATCTTCATTTCACCGTCTCAATCAGCATAATCTACTCGACGTTTCGAAGACCTGATACCACGAAATATGAAGATATAATCGTTCTTTTCAGTTTCTATTTTTTTGAAATATTCTTGTGTTTATCTTATATCCTAAAATGTTTTGTTACTAATAATTGCATAACGGAGAGTTTAGATAAGAATAACACAGAAAGGCATTCGTACAAACATAACAAATAGGCGCATGTATATAAAAAAAAAATGATTTTACGGCACACCATTCGGGCCTCATATTGTAACAGCACTCGTGTGATTATAGGAGAAGTGTCCGGAAATATAGGGGAAATGTCTATCCGATTAAGCTTCTTCTTCTGGCTGTTCTTCGTCCAGAAAGTCAACATCTTCTTCAGCTGTAGCATCCTGGTATTGCTGATACTCAGATACTAAATCATTCATGTTAGATTCAGCTTCTGTAAATTCCATCTCATCCATACCTTCACCCGTATACCAATGGAGGAAAGCTTTTCTTCTGAACATAGCAGTAAACTGTTCAGAGATCCTTTTGAAAAGTTCTTGAATGGCAGTACTATTTCCAACGAAAGTTCCAGACATCTTCAGGCCCTTGGGTGCAATATCGCAAACGGCAATCTTTACATTGTTAGGAATCCATTCAACGAAATATGTCGAGTTTTTATTTTGAACGTTCAGCATTTGTTCGTCTACTTCCTTCATGGACATCTTACCTCTAAAGATGGCGGCAACGGTCAAATATCGTCCATGACGAGGATCGCAGGCCGCCATCATGTTCTTAGCATCAAACATCTGCTGGGTCAGTTCTGGTACCGACAAAGCTCGATACTGTTGACTGCCTCTTGATGTAAGTGGGGCAAAACCGGGCATGAAGAAATGAAGACGTGGAAAGGGCACCATGTTAACTGCTAGTTTTCTGAGATCAGCATTCAATTGTCCAGGGAATCGTAGACATGTTGTTACGCCGGACATGGTGGCGGATACCAAATGATTGAGATCACCGTATGTGGGAGTCGTCAGTTTTAGTGTACGGAAACATATATCGTATAAAGCTTCATTGTCGATACAGAAAGTCTCATCTGTATTTTCTACTAACTGGTGGACGGACAAGGTGGCATTGTAAGGCTCCACAACAGTATCAGAAACCTGTAAATAAATGTTAAAAATCTAGCTTTAAAACGTTAAATTTAGATCCGGAGAGGCATTACAGAAAAAATAGAATCTATGAAAACAGTATGCAGATATTTTTCAAATGAATAAAGAGGGTATATCGACAACAAGGAACTCTTTGATAGAAATTACTTTTTTTTTTATCTTTAGTGGCAAGAATCGTGGCTCCATTATATTTAAAAGTGCACAAACATCCTACCTTGGGGGAAGGTACAACTGAGAAGGTGTTCATAATTCTATCTGGATATTCCTCTCTGATTTTACTGATGATGAGGGTTCCCATACCAGATCCCGTACCCCCACCCAGAGAATGGGTCAACTGAAATCCCTGTAGACATTCACATCCCTCAGATTCCTTTCTAAGAACATCGAGAACGCTTTCAACTAATTCAGCTCCTGAAAAATAGTAAAAACCCATCATATTATAGACATGCTCTGGTATCAATACAAAGAGTGTACCTCTTCTTCAATGTTTATGGTAATTATAGATGTAGCGGAAGTAGGGGGTGGGGTGGGTGCTTTCATAATCTCTGTACACATAGGCGGGTTCAGCGCCGAGTTGAACAGGACTTTCAGTGAGATTATGCTATCTGATTTACTGCAGCTCTGCAATATAATCTAACTATTTATTATATATTCATATGTTTAACAGTAGAACACAATTATATTAATATTAAAATATATAGTTTAGTTGATAAGAATAGTTTATATTTATCATCAATACAATACACCAGTCACGTGACTATTGATTTTGAATTCGTCATGTATGGTTCGAATATGACAGTTGTGAACATCTGTGCTCACCCATAAAAGAATGTGTAATATATACCTTTTAAGGTATCGCTGATCACGGCAACATATTTCTGATTAATCAATTTTGTAAAAATGTTGACATTGGTGCAGCGGCGTAACTCGATTATGTACCGCCAGATGGGTCCTGGCGTTTGCATACCCCACCCATTCCGCCGCGAAACTCACAGCATAGTAAATATTTAAACGGTAAAACAAAAAGAGGGTTTTTCGCAAAATAAAGTTGATTCGGACGTTTTGTATCCTTCTACTGTCCCGGCAAAAAAACAGCGTTTCTTAATTTAACAATGATATCAGAAAATTTTAATTTTAGCACAAGTTTTGCAATCGAGTTTTTTTCGTCACTTACCTAGCAAAATTATTAGCAGTGCCTACTTTTACAATTCGAACTATAAATTAAATAAAACTTTCCTCAACCAATTGTTCGCAAGATAATCTTGTAGCATATACAGAAATTTTCCACTTTAAAGCGAAGTCACTTACCTTCGGTGTAATGACCTTTGGCCCAGTTGTTTCCAGCACCACTTTGGCCGAAAACAAAATTATCTGGACGAAACAGCTGACCAGTGGGTCCAGATCTAACGGAATCCATGGTACCAGGTTCCAAATCGACTAAAACAGCTCTCGGAACATACTTCCCACCACTCCCAGAATTGAAATAGACGTCAATTCTATCAAGTTGCAATTCGTTATCTCCATGGTAAGCACCGGTGGGATCGATGCCGTGCTCATCTGAAATTACTTCCCAGAATTTGGCACCAATCTGGTTACCGCATTGGCCTGCTTGGACGTGGACAATTTCTCTCATGTTTCTGATAAGCCGATAGATGCAAGCACTATGAGGTTCTAGTGAGCTTGTGAGTAGTTCTCGGTACGTATGTAAAGTTATTATTGAAGATCAATAGTATGATTCATTGAAATGCGAATGACACCAACAAGTGTTACCAACCTAATTGTACCAGGTGTACATACCATTGAGTCAGCCATTATTAAAATTTCATCTTTCTTAAATAACCATTGGTTCAAATACTAACCCAATCCCAGATTTAACTCAAAATGTTTTCATATTTCCATCCCTTGTTTGGGCTTCCCTTAAAAATAAAAATGAAACGTTTAAAGCACTAATAAAATACCGAGATGGTGACGAGCATACAAAACAGAAACATAGGATGCGATTCCCCGCCCGGTTGTACGTGACAAGGAGTAGTCGCGATTGGACGTGACAAGGAGTGGGGTCGCCTATCCAACCTCGCGTGTTTTCTCCAGGTCCCCCGGTTTCCCCCCCCCCCTGCTAAAGACCCTACCCTACGCACAAGCGAATTGTTGAAATAAAATTGAGCCACGTGTTAGTCCCAAAATGACCTATTTTGTGTCAAGTAAACGTTAAACACACACCCTCTCTCTCTCTCTCTCTCTCTCGCATATTTAAGGTTTTGTAAATAAGGTTAGGGCACGTGATTGTTGGTGAGATTGATTGTTAGGGTTAGGGTAAGCATTCAAGCTAGGTCCAGGCTTCAGGCCCGTAACTATAGTGGTGGGGCGCAGGGGGGGGGCGAATTCGCCTGTGAAACATTTTTAGACCATAAAAAATAGATATACATTCCCGCCCCCCCCCCCTTGTTGCTCTGGGCTAGTTACGGCCCTGCCAGGGTTAGGGTTGGCATTAGCGCTAGCCCTGTTTACATCTCGTGACCTATGACGAAAAATTGAGCTGGCCTTAACATTTAGCACTAACCTACGTGCGATCGCCTACCCAACCATTCTGAAGGAGAGACACGCTACCTTCTATATTTAGTATTCCAGCGATAGTTACGTATGCTATCCAACCTCGTGGGTTTTCTCCGGATCCTCCGGTACCTCCCAATTATAAAATATGCCATATATCAGTCCGGAAATCACCAAATCTCGCTATCTCTCTCCCTTATTACCAACTGAAATAATGTAGCCGGGTTTTCTTACCGTTAACAAAATTACCCCCCCCCCCCCAACCCGTCGACACACAAACACACACACCCAAACAGACGTGTTCTTCGAAACCTAACAAATGCGTATTATCATTCATTTTAGTTCATTGTTTTGTGTCACATGATTTACTTTCTATGTAGAGGTGGAGCGACTGTGGCTCACTGAGTTCATCGGGATTTTCTGCAGGACAGAGGGCTTGGCAAGTGACAACGTACAGTAGATCAGATTGGACGAAAAACCAAGGTCCAATGTAGATAGAATTTAGTATAAGAGTAGACAGTATTATAGTATCGGGCAAACTTTCCCTCATAACACACTGTAAGGCGTACGCCCGTCTACATTAGCCCAGTCGGAGCAGAACAGTAGGATGTAAAACCCCCATTGCATTTCATTTTTTCTATGTAGAGGGGTCCCCCTATTTTTTTTCACATATACCTTCACTACAATAAACACGTTTCTCGGGATTAATACTGGTTACGATATTATCCTCATCAATTTATTTGTAAATTCTCTATAAATTTACAAGGGAATAATATTCTTTTATTTATCCTTATTTATCCTTATACTACACTGAACAGTGATTTTTGAGGGGTTTGAGGGATTTTAATTACGATTCAAAAACGGCTCGTGGTGTTTGGAAAATTAAACTTTAGCTACGGTTTTAAGGAAATTGTTTAGAAGCGCTTGGCTCGGATGGTGGTTTTTACGTATAAACATATACATGTGTTGGTTTTTTCTAAATTCTAACTTTACTTGACCTGTTGGGACATCTACTATGTAATTAACTTACCAATGATATTGTCCATGTATTATATTAATTATATAAAATGTTGTAAAATCTCAAAAGGCACAAATCAGCACGTAATATATACCGGTATCAAGATTCAACGGGCTAGAAAGATGTAATTGGCTAGATCCGCTCGAGGTTCTTTCTTTTCTTATAACTCTTCGCCGGGAAATGATAGGTGTTTCCACATAAAATATTGGTTAGAAATGGAAATAGCGCTATGGACAATATTGTGCGAACATAGGAAATGGAAATAAAATGTCACAAACTGTTTATATGTAACATGCAACAAATTGCACTTCTTTTTTAGTCCACTTTGCCATGGGTTTTTTTTTCTGAAAAATCACTAGAAAGGTCCCATTGATTTTGTCAATTAACTTAAAACTGATTTGTCATATTATATCAAATGTTATAAAATCTGAAACGGCAAAAGTCAATATAAAAACGTAAAAAGTATATGTGTATAAATATAAAGCTTCAAAGAGCCAGAATAAATTTATTTATCAAAATTCATGTTTCCGCCCCTGCTGAAATAAACACGTTTCACACGAGTGTCAAGCCACAATGTGTAACACAATTTTTATTTTTAATTCGATTATGTTCAAGTACTGTTGGCCATGAAAATCAGACTTCAATAAAAAGAGTAGCCTACCTTTCATAGTACCGTCCATTACGCCCACCTGTCAGAAATACTGTCACGCTTGCGCAATAGCTGAACAGGAGCCGGGAGATGGAAGATCCTGATATAAGCAATTAATTCAATAATTGTCGGAGCTTTTTCAAACGATTTTGAAATACTGGAGTTAGAATGAATAGTATGACTAGAAAATCAACTGACGATCTTGGTAAGTAGCGTACTATTACGTTTGTGATATGTTAAGAACACAGACCTTAGAACTTTTAAAAGCACTGCAGAACAGTTTTATAGCTTCTTTTAGATTTAATGAAAAAATAACGGTTGATCACGTTTTTTATTCATCTAGGATTAGCCACTTTTATTATTGTTTTGGGGGGCTGTTAATCAATTTCACCAGAACCATAAAATTTAAATTCTTGATTAAAATTCACAGGTTATTTTGTTTAATTTTAGAATTTCTAAAAGAATATGAAACATGAATTAAATACAGTAAATGAACCGGTGGGTTCGTTTTTCCCAATTGCCAAAATGGCTATATAACTGCCAAAACCTGACAATACTATATACCGGAAAACACTGAAAAAAAAAGGAAAAGACTGAAAAAAAAGGAAAACAGAAAAGACTGAAAAAAAAGGAAAACTACTGGAAAACATCATGTTATACTGAATACTGGAAAACACCGGAAAACACACAAATACCGGAAAATACCCTAATTAGGTAACCCGGAGTCTAGCACCCAAAATTTTATTTTGTTTCAGTAAATCAAGAAGTACATTTCTATTATTAACGAAGCCTTCAATCTTGATCGAAAATACGCATATTTGAAATTTTGGCAAGATGAACCCACCGTAAAACAGTGTAATTTTTTTTTAAAAAGTACACTTATAGGTTAGTAATTGAAAATATTATTTAAATGTTGAGCTTGTAAGTGTAAAAAGTTGGTGATGTTTGTGAATGAGGCTGTAGAAATTGTCTATACTCTATATGGCTAATGGTCACTTTTTACATTTAAAACATGACATTCTGTGTATACAGGGCTGCACAATTGTGGTACACTATTGAATAGTGTTCTGGGTGGTTATGGGAACAAAGTTGTCTGACATAAATGTTACTCCTCCTGGCAGAACATCATGATGGCAGTAAGTTGGTCAGTTTGGTAACAATCACATAATAATATATTAAAGTGCTAAATCCACAAAATGTGTTGAAGGACATAATAATATGAACATGCCCTATATTCTATACACATTTTTGACACTATAGATAGATAGGAGTGTTGTTCAGAAGTTATTAGGATTGGACAAAGTATGACAGTAATCAGAGGTACAAAAGTGAAAATATCCCAAAAAGTTACCTAGAAAGAAAATAAATTTCCTCCAAGTTTGATCTCGTTGGTAGCCATTAATGATTGAAGAATTGTACTCTGGGATAATCTGGCTAGTGCCAATTGAGAACTTGGATTTGAAACCAGTTCAAATGTTTTGAGCTCTTCAGTTTCCAGTATTGGAAAAACCAGACTGTATTGAACAAATCATAAAGCTTACTTAATAGTTTGACCGATGCCAAAGAACTAGTAATCCTCCATGTGGCTTTGAAGATTATATGGACAGTAGTGTAGTCGAAATTCAATAGATATGGTCTATCCAAGCATAATCACTTAAAGATACATTATGGGAGATTCGATAACGAGTTGGCAGTTCTCACTATAATAGTTAAAAAAATAGATGATGTAAAGGCAATTTGCTGAAAATTTCATTCAAATTGATCCTCTATGAACCGAGAGCTAAACAAGTGAAATTTTTGCCTAGCCTCGATCATCGTTACTAAAGTCAGTACGATAAACAGCATTGTCTCAATTATCCATTAAATCGTGAAGGAAAGTTACGCAGTAAATCAGCTCATAATCCACTAAAGAACACAGGCTAACGATCTAGAGTTGATTATGGTCTGAATAGGTTAATTAAACATGCATTATGCAAGAGCAAAATCTGCTTATTACAAGTCTTTCTTTAGGCCTGAAATGTTATCTAATTTATCAATTAGACATTCATTAACTTATCCAGACCATAATAAACTCTCGATATCAAGGCTAGCCTTCGATGTTGGCAGAATTAGATTCCTATATGCCGCTTAACGGCCATTGATAATTAAATCAAAACAGTGGATAATTGAGACTATGCTGTTTATATTAATGATTTTAGTAATGATGACCGAGACTATGCGAAAATTTCACCCGCTTCGTTCTCGGCTCATAGTGGATCAATTTGACTGAAATTTTTAGCAAATTACCTTTACACTATCTAGTTTTTAACTATTATAGCGAGAACTGCCATCTCTTTATCTTATCTCCCATAATGTATCTTTAATGTCTAATTACTAACTTTAGATAACATTTCAGGCCTAAAGAAAGACCTGCAATAGACAGATTTAGCTCTTGCATAATGTATGTTTAAGAAAAATGAAATGAGGTTTAACGTCCTCTGACTG